CCACAAGCAAAGACAATGTCACAATTTAAAGAAAGGGTATAGTTGTACCAAGTTCAATACAAGCATTATAAGTTCATCAATCACAACTTCAAATGACATAGTTTAGCACAATCAACAAACTTCAAATGACATAGTACGCCGGAGGAGTAGCACACCGGCTGCTACTGGCCGGAGTACTTGCATGCTTGCTGCTGCTTGCCGGAGTTGTCATTACTTCAAATCACTAGTAATCAAATCACAAATAACAGATCAAAATCAGAAGAGACTAGATCGAAAAAATAGATACCTAGATCTAGAGGAGAGAAGGGGAATAGAAGGGGAATACCTCGGAGGCTCAGCGCAGTGGAGGCAGGAGACCGTGGCGACGGAGGCCACAGATGGATGGGGGCCAAGCTGGAGGAACTCAACGACCGGCCGAAGGGGAGCTCGGTGCAGACAGCGGCCGCAGCTTCCTCCCGGAGGTGGAGCGAGCCCCTCCCGTCCCCTCACGGCGGCGAGCCGGCAACTGGTTGGTGGGCGACGGCTGTGGAGGATGCTGACTGCCGAGGGCCCAAGGCCGAGGAGGCTGGGACTGGGAGGAGAGGCGGCTGGAACTAGGACAAGGAGAGGTGGCTAGGGGGTGGCAGAGAATCCCTAAAGATTTTAGATTAGGGTTTTTATACTAAGTTGACTGAGGGCCCACATGTCAGTTGGTTTCGCGGGTAAACGGGCGATGCCCGTGTGCCCGTTAGGTACAGGTTTTAACCCAATAAAAAACCCATGGGTTCTAAATGGAGAACAAACCAAACTCTATTAGGATTTTTATTTTATTTTTTTTGATCAAAGGGCCTTAACCCTCCATTTCCATTAAAAGAAATGTCACAGATTACAGCAGAAAAAAAACAGAAAACAACTGCGTCTAGAGTTTATAAAAGCGACAACAGACATTCAACAGTAGACTCCTCTTCAACAGGCAAACAACTTTGCTCTTCTGTTCAAAAGCTAGACATTTCTCTCTTCTCTTCTAATCTGATCAGCTGCTTGTAATCCTTCTGAAGCTGGCGTGCCACCCATGTCGTGAATTGAACACCTCATTTGTGACCTGCTTTAGCAATTGGATTCCCCATTGCAGCTTTTCTTGATTTCCCACCTGTCTCTGCAGAATAACCCAATCATGCATCCATGAGCACGCTTGATATAAAATGTCAGTGGAATCTTGTGGCAACAACTGTTCAAAATAGGCTTTATTTCTTGTTTTCCAGACAGACCATAACACAGTTGCTATCCCTACCAACAGTAAGTGTTTTGTTGTTTTATCCCATTTCTGGATCCATACCCCCAAAGCATGTTGAATGTTTTTCACAGGTTGCAAACCAAAAGTACATGCCACCACATTCCAAGTAAGTCTTGTCATGGGGCAATCAAAAAATAAATGTTGAATTGACTCTTTTTTGTCACAGAACTGACATGTTTCGTTCCCTTTTTTCCAACCCCTTTTCTTTAGATTGTCTTTAGTTAGAACACTATCCTTCAGCAAAAGCCACAAGAAGATCCTGATTTTTAGAGGGATTTTATCTGCCAAATCTTTTTGTGTATCACCCCCATCATAGAAGCAGCCTCTTGCATTTTCATACCAGTATAAAAAGATTTAACACTGAAGATCCCATTTTTGGTTAGTCCCCAAACAGTTTCATCTTTGGAATCATTCAAGTTTACTTGATCACATCAATTTTTGATGTAATTCCAATCCCTCAAATTGTCTCCCAACAAGTTCCTTCTAAAAATTATACTACCCCAGCCATTTTGTTTAACCTCTGCCAGAGTTATATAATGTGTATGTGTGATTCTATATAGGTAAGGAATTTTTTTTTCCCAGAGACTTCCCCCCTATCCAGTTATCCTCCCAAAACAGAGTATTTGCCCCATTTCCTGGTTTTTTCTAGCAATAACTATAAAAGACATCTTTGATTTCCATAATCCCTTGCCAGAAATGTGAAGCCCCCTTTTTGATTTTCTAGGCTGCCAAGATTTTTTTTGATAGATTTTTTCTTTTCAATAGCTTTTGCCACATACCATCAGTTTTCTCCAGGTTCCAAAGCCATTTACCCAACAAGGCCTTATTCATAATGTCTAAGTCCCTAATTCCCAGACCCCCTTGCTCTTTTGGAGAGCAAACAACTAGCCATTGCACCAAATGGTATTTTCTAATTCCTTGGTCTTCTTGCCAAAGAAACCTTCTTCTTACAAAATCCATTTTTTCTTTCACTCCTTTGGGAATTCTGTAGAAAGACAACAAGTAAAGAGGTGTACTGCTCAAACAAGAGTTTATCAAAGTAACTCTTCCTCCAATAGATTGCAAATTCCCCTGCCAACATCCTACCCGTTTTTCCATTTTCTCCTCAGTTTGTTTCCAGTCTTTGTTCATGATTCTTTTTTGATTAATTGGTATGCCCAAATACTTTATAGGCAAATTACCTATATTGCAAGTGAAGATCTTACTGTACTCCTCTTTGTTTTTTGTTGCTTCTCCTAAACAGATAACCTCACTCTTATTAAAATTGATTTTCAGTCCTGAAAGTTGTTCAAAAATGCAAAGTATTTTTTTCAAGTTTCTAGCATAATCTAACTATTTTGCATCAGAAAGATTGTATCATCTGCATATTGCAGGATAGCAATAGTGTTCTCATTATCAATACCCAATCCCTGAATTAAGTTGTGTTTTTCTGCCCTCTGGATCAAAACTATCAAAGCCTCTGCAGCTATATTGAAAAGAATTGGTGACATGGGGTCTCCTTGCCTCAAACCTTTGTGTGTATTAAAATAGGGCCCAATTTGATCATTGACTTTAACAGCAACCTTGCCCCCTCTTATTATTTTCATAATCCAGTCACAAATTTTCTCAAGGAAATGTTTGGCCTGTAAAATTTTAAAAATAAAGTCCCAATTTATTTTATCATATGCCTTTTCAAAGTCAACCTTACAAAGTATTCCACTCTGTTTCTTTTGATGAGCTGAACTCAAAGTCTCATGCAAAATCAGTATCCCTTCTATAATGTTTCTATTTTTTATAAAAGCAGTTTGGTTTTGTGATATTAGGTACTCTATTACTCTACTTACTCTCATCATCAATACTTTAGTTATGATTTTGAAACTGACATTCAGCAGACAGATGGGTCTGAACTTTTGGATTTGTAGGGCCTCTTGTGTTTTTGGCATCAAAGTTATAATTCCATAATTTAATCTTTCCACATCAATAGTACCGCTCTAAAAATCCTCTATAACAGCCATCAAATCAGGACTGATCAGATCCCAAAAGTGTATGTAAAACTCAATAGGGAACCCATCTGGGCCAGGAGCCCTGTTTTTTCTCATTTCATCAATCACATTTTTAACTTCTTCTTTGGAAATTTCTTTAGTTAAACATTCTCTGTCTTCTTCTTTGATTTTGGTAAAATCATTCATGTCCAAGGACATAGAAGCCCCTTGAGCATGCCCAAACAAGTTTTTATAGAACTTTGTGATATATTCCAAAAGATTTTATTGCCCTTTAATTTCCCCCTCTTCTTGTATCAATTTGTGTATCTGTTTTTTTCTTTTTCTCCCATTGCATTTAGCATGATAGTACTTTGTGTTGTTGTCACCATCAATAGTCTCTTGATCTTTGCATCCTTGGAACCATTTGAGTCTTTCCTCTCTAATGGTGAAATTCAGTTTAATTTCCAGCTCTCTTCTCATCTCTCTGTCAGTATTTGTCATTCCAACACTCTCTATTTTTTTATCAAGTTCCCTAATTGTTTTTAAATTTTCATTCTTTTCCCTCCTGTATCTCCCCTCCCAATTCTTATTCCATCCTTTAAGTTTTTTCCTAACAGCCCTCAGCTTTCCTTGCCATCTCTCTATACTAGAACCCCCACCTCTATATGAAGTCCAGACTTCACTTACCGTGCTATCAAGATCTTCTCTCAGGAACCAGCTGGTTTCAAAATTAAAAGGGGATTCACTCTTAAAATTCTCTCCAGAATCAACCAACAAGGGGTTATGGTCAGAATAAACATGTTCTAAACATTGAACTGAGATATGAGGATACATTTGTTCCAATTTATTTGTAACCAGGACCATGTCCAATTTTTCAAAAGTTGGGTCTTCATGACAGCTTTGCCAGGTATAACTAGATAACCCCATATCAATTTCCCTTAAATTCCCTTGTTCCAGTATAGCATTAAAGATAAAGCTCCACCTACTGCAGCCACCTGGTTTGTTTTTCTCACTTGCATTTCTAATAATATTAAAGTCTCCTAATAACAGAGGATTTTTTTGTCCATTCAACTCCTGTGCCAATTCTCTTAGGAAAGTTTCTTTTTGTTCTTTTTGGGCAGCCCCATATACAACCATGAGATCCCAGACTTTGTTGTCATTTACATTTTTTATGGAAGTTTTTAAGAAGAATTGAGATTTCCTCACCTCTATGATCTGAAACTTATCTTCATTCAAACCAACTAAACTTATCTTCATTCAAACCAACTAGGATCCCCCTAGATCTTCATGTTACAGGTACCCAGTTCCAACAAAAATGTTTGGATTTGGTCAAAGTTTTCAAAATGTTGCACTACAAGAAATCTTATGATAGATGACGCTTCATTTACGTCACAAACATTGAATTTTTCATCACGTTTCATAATCTGTGACGCTCGCGTGACGAAAATTCATTCGTCACCTATCATGCGTCTCTAATGGCGTTTTATGACGAAACCTTATTTTTTCGTCATTAATTTAGCGACGATCCTTCTGTTGTCATAACTTTATGACGCTCATATTCGTCATTATCTAGCTAAAAAACATCATAAAATATTTTATGGCCCATTAAAATCCATGTATTGAGCACCCTGTTAATGGGCTTAGCCCAATGGCAAGCAAACTATTTTTAGCCCAATTCTATTATATTCATTTGCTTTAATATCAAATAATAAATAGGCCAAATCCATTGCAAAAGCCCATATAGGCCCAAACATTATACCACACCATTTTCAACCCATCATATCATATTCATTATATTAGAATCAAATAACAAGTGGGCTAAGCCCATATAGGCCCAACAATCAAACACTAACAATCCATATAGCACAAAGGTTACAGCCCAATTAGCATCCATCACAACCCGACAAACATCCAATACAACACAAAATTTAAACACAGCAAATCAGCAAATTAGCAAATCAACTGGTTAGCCACTCGTGGGAAATGCTTGAACTGCAGCAGGGACAGAAAGTGCTTGAACTACGGCAGAGGCCTCAGCTTGCCCAGGAAGCCCCTGTATCAAATACACAGTGCAATAGATTAGTCACCGATTACATGATAAAATTGCGCCTGAAAAACAACTGAAGTGGAAGAAATAAGTGGTCACGCATGCATGACAAGTGCCTATGTTGCTTAAAATTATTTTTTGATCTGTTTATTGTTATTATTTTCAACAAGTCATTGTAAAAACTTAAATAACACAGATTAACATCTTTCTATGAGTTTAAAATTTTGAGACTCCTTATTTATTTTAAAAGTTTTAACGACATAATAGCACATCAGGAAGTCCAAGCAACAAGACAGGGAAAAAATGGAAGGTATGCAGAAATGATTCTTACAGTATACAAATACTCCACAGCCCGTTCTGGATTGTTGTATGCAGCTCCCAGAGCACGCATAACAGTGTCACGGTCCCAAGCTCCTCCACCCATTTCAAGAATTGACTGAACAGTCCCTTCTAAATTGCTTCCAGCAACAAGGTTCGACGCAGCTAGACCATAGATATCTGCTTCGGTGCTGGTAGAATCAAATTATCAGTAGTATTGTCAAAGTGGTCTTTCATATCTTTCCACCAAACTATCTACACACAAAAAAAAAGAGCATTTGTTAGATAACGAAGCATCTTCATGAATGGACATTTTGTGCTCGAACCACTTTAGCCCATGTATGTATATATCCAAGAGTGCATTTACAGGAACTCAATGCCAAACTCAAAGGATGGCGTGTCAGATTTGCTAGCGTGATGTGCATTGATTACCATACATGCATGCCGACCAATGCACTAAACAACATTATATTTTTCTCAAATGTAAAGTTTAACTCCAATAAAAAAAATTTCTAAGCCATTTACAACACAAATCTAAAACAAAAATTACTAAGAAACAGAGTGAAACTAATGACTGGGTAGAGATAAATCAATAGATTACTTGTTTGGTGATTAAACGTTGCAACACACAGCATGGCAGTGGTAGGCCACCAATATCCAGTTGCTCCACGGCCATTCTGAAGGCTTGTTATAAATTGTGTTTTCATATAATGTTCCAAAGCAAAATTTTCCTAAAGCATATGGAGTTGGTATATCTAAACAAAATTAACAGGAACACCATATAACAGATTAAACCATCGATGCATGGGCAGCACATTACAATTATGCATTCTGGGGATAAAAAATATATCTCAAGAATTTAAGCTAGATAACATTTCTCAAGTACCAGAAGACCCTTTGTACAATAAATGATTTCTTCATGTGCATTAGATATGCTCAGCAGCAGCCAGCAAGCTATAGAAAGAAAATCTCAGTGTTCACACTTCTTTGAAGGGCATAACTACGGTATTTGTAACAGACGGTAGATGTTCCACTCACTAAATCAACACTACGTAGAATCAAAAAACATAGCTTACTAACTACCTTGCTTTTGCCATCTAATGCATTCTGGTCTGGCAGCCTTAGTGCCTTGCCTTGCCTGACAACAATCAATTAGTTTGCTACTGCTACTCATTCGGACTGAAAATAAAAGTAGTTTCAGGTCACTCACATGGTCACCTGACTTAAAATCAGGTGCTTGCAGTTGTTGTTGCAAGTAGTTATCTGAAGATTGCAAGGTGAGACTGACAATGGTGGCCAGCAAGCAGCTCCACTCGCAGCGATGTGGCGGCCACTGCCAGCTGCACCACCACCGGCCGGAGGAGATCGCCGGCGCCGAGAGCCACGAGAGGGACGGGTCGAGCGGCTGCGGCGGTGCTGGTCCAATGGTCGTGCTGATCCTCGGGTCCGGCGCGGCGTCGGAGGCTGAAGATGACGGCGGCGGCCGCTGGCGCTGCTGCTGCGGCTGTTCCTGTGGTGCCGGCGGAGGGGCAGACGCTGGCGACGGTCTCCCCCCGATCTGTGGGCCCTCTTTTTGGGATCTGGGCACCGTGTCTCCTCCCGATCTGCTCTTCCCCGACCTCGTGGCGTCGGATCGCTGCCGTCGTCATCGCCACCTCCGCCTCAACCTGGGGGACCACGCAGCCGCCGACTGATTCAGATCGGTTAAACTGTAGGTTAAATTGGGACGAGAAGATCCGCGTGGGAGGGTCTCACCTTGGGATGCTCCGGCGACGCGGCCACGCCACAGCCGGACGCCGCTGCCGCCTAGCCGCCGCAGCCGCGCGCCCGACGCGCCGCCTGACCGCCTCGCCGCCGCACCGCCGCTTAGAGGCTGCTGATGGTTGGTGACGGCTAGGGTTGGGGAGTGTTCTGATTTGAATCGGTGGCTAGGGTTGAGGGAAGCAGGATACGAAGCAATCGTTGATGCGATTTTACCAAAATAACCATGGTGTATGATCAAAAATTATACAAGTTCCCTGGACAAAAGGGTCATTTCATCGTGAAATATTTTTGACATGGGGTAGAGGTGGCCAAACGGGCGGCCCGGCCCGGCACGGCACGGGCACGGGTCCGGCATGGCCCGTTTCGGCACGGCCCGTTAGGCACGGCTCATGAAACGGGCCGTGCCGTCCCGACCCACGTGCCGAGCCGCCGGCCCAAGCACGGCCCGTGGATGGCCGGGCCGTGCCCGTGCCGGCACGGCATGCGTGTGGCCCGCCGTGTCAGTACGGGCCCGTGAATGAAAAATGGGCCGTGGACGGGGCACGGTTGGCCCAGGAACCGAAATGGCGCGGAGGGATGCGATGCGGACTTGCGGAGGTGGCTGGCGGGCTGGGCCATCAGCTAGGAGGGGTGCTCAACGGACTTGCGGAGGCGGCTAGCGAGCTGGGCCGTCAGTTGGGAGGGATGAGATACGGACTTGCGGAAGGATGAGATGCGGACTTACTACAGTAGCCGTGCCGTGCCGTGCCGGCCCGCGGGCTCGGCCGGCGGCCCAAGCACGGCACGGCTACTCGTGCCGTGCCGGCACGGCCCGTTACTGTAGCAGGCCGTGCCGGGCCGTGCCGGCTACAGGTTCCGCCGTGCCTCGGGCCGCCCGTTTTGGTCCGGCCCGTTTGGCCACCTCTAACATGGGGGATGGGGCGCGAAGCTTCCCGCCACGCTGAAAGTTCACAACCCCTGTTTTGTTTTTTGCAAAAAAAATAGAAATAATATGTTAATTTATGAGAACTTTAAATTTAATTTTAGGATGATTTTTGTGTTTCAAATGTAAAAATCATAAATAAAAAAATTGTAGAACTCATCGAGATCTACAACTATTGTATTGGTCGTTTTTACAAATAAGTTCATTTGAACTATTCAAATTTTAAATTTTCAAAATTTGACAACTTCGAACAAAATTTGGGGTTAATAAATGATTTTAAATGGAAAAGTCACCAAAACCGAAGTTGTAGAACTCATCGAGATGCAAAATTTTTATTTTGGTCATTTCTCTATCTGACTCTATTTGAATAATTTGAAATTGAAATTCAAAGTTTGAGAACTTCGAATAGAACTTTTTATTAGTGAACGACTTCAATTGAAAAAGTCATTAACAACAAAGTTGTATAATCCATCTAGATCTATAATTTTTATTTTGGTCATTTGTTCATCTGACAAAGTAATTTGTAACGTTGTTCACAAAATGTACATATCTCCAATATAGTTTATAAATTGTAGGAGAGATATATAAATTTTGTGAACAATGTTACTATCGCTTTGTCAGATGAAGAAATGACAAAAATAAAAGTTATAGATTTTGATGAGTTATACAACTTTGTTGTTGATGACTATTTCAGTTAAAATCATTTAGTATATGAAAATGTTGTTTGAAGTTGTTATAATTTGAACTTCAAATTCAAATTATCGAAACAAAGTCATATAGCAAAATGACTAAAACAAAATTTGTAGATATTGATGAGTTATACAACTTTGTTGTTGATGACCTTTTCAGTTGAAATCATTTAGTACTTGAAAATGTTGTTTGAAATTGTCATAATTTTAAATTCAAATTCAATTATTGAAACAAAGTTATATAGCAAAATGACCAAAACAAAAGTTGTAGATCTTGATAAGTTATACAACTTTGTTATTGACATTTTTTTCATTTGAAATCATTTACTACCTGAAAAGTTATTTGAATTGAGAGGAGGGAGGTCAAATAGACTTCTCGGTGAGGGAGGAGCAAAAAAGCTGGGCCGGCGGCCCGAAGAGGGAAGAGGAGGGAGAGAGAGGCTGCGGGCTGAGAGAGGGAGAGAGTAAAATTTGGGCCGAAAAAGGCCCAAGGAAGAGAGATGAATTTTAATTTGTTTTTCATTTATTTTAATAGGTTAAATGAACTTTGGGGCATTAAAATAAGTTATTGAGCTCCAAAAATTCACGGAAATTTTCAGAGAATAATTTAGACCACGTAGAATATTAAAAAAATATTTCCGGCCATAAATTTTACATAAAAAATTTATTTTCCTCATTAATTCACTTGATTAAATTGCTTTAACTTTTAATACTCCCTCCATCTCATAATATAAGGCGTGCATGCATTTCAAGATTAAAGTTTTAAACATTTGACCAACACTTAATATAATATGAAATAAATTTTAATTGTTAAAAATTATATCATTAGATTGACATTTAAATTACTTTTATATGGTTATAATTTTGTTGCTACAAATCTTATAGTATATGAGAAATTATAAGCTAAAGATTAGTTTTGGAGACCGTGCCAACTTTAATGACACCTTATATTATGAGATAGATGGAGTATATTTTTCTAGAAATGCATTATATATATCTATGACGTTTGCTTTGTGCCCCTTATGACAAGTTAATATTCGTCACGATGACCCATTGAAATACTTTATCACGATTTTTAGTTGGCAGTAACAACGAACACATTTTTTTCGTCACTAAGCCACCCCGTCTCATACTAATCGTCATAAAATGGAATGTGCTAATGACGAATAGCTCCGATGTCACGAAGAATTCGTCACAGAAGATCATATTTCTTGTAGTGTAATTGACAGAAAAATTGTGCTTCATAGTTTCCTGCAATCCTACAAAGTCCACTTTATGTTCATCCAAAATGTCTTTCAAGTGTTTCATTTTTTCATACCTCTGATATTCCATATGATTCCTTTCATTTTTTTCTTTTTGGTATTTTTCCCTGGTTTCCTTTTGTTCACCCTAGGAGTGACCTTGACAATTGCAAGGTTTCCTTTCTTGTTTTTCTTTTTACCCTCACCAGATTGTGAATGTAACAATAAAGATTCTGCCCAATCCAGTTCAGAATTGTTGCTTTCACAGTCTGTTTCATCAAGAAAGTTAAATAAATCATCCTGAAAGTTGTCATCTCCTTTTTTATTTTCAATTGGTTCATCTTTTCCTACCTTTTGTTGTTCTTTCAAGAAGAGTTTCACTCTAGCCTCCTCTAGGTCATTTATCAATTTCATATTTGTATCCACCGCCTCAATTGAACATCCAAGACTAACTCCTATTAGATTAGCTAGATCTAGCAAAGAGACATTAGAATCATCTATGGAACAGGGAATAAGATCCTGACCTTTGTTGACAAATGCATTCCGAGCCTCCTTTCTATCAATTGCCATCTCCAAAGACTTCTTTTCTTCTCTGTCTTTGAATCTTTTGCTTGCTCTCCTTTCTTCTTCCTAACTTCCACCCTCCTCTTCAGTCAGCACCACACCAATTGACTTTGCAAAATTGTTTTCAGATTCTTGAGATTCAAACAATTCCTCACTGTCTCCTAAATGTACTTTTCCTTCTTCATCTTCCTCCATACCTTCCTTAATGGACCTCATTTGCTGGTTTTGTCCCACTTTTATCATAGGTAAGGATTCATCCTTACTTTCAACAGCCATAATTTCCTTATTAGAACTCTCTCCTCTTGTCTCCAAGCCTCTTTTGAGCACCTTGTGTTGTTCCTTCTCTTCCTTCTCTTGAATTGCCATGGCTATCTCCCTGTCTTGCATGATCTGTATTGCTTTCTTTTTGTCCTCCTTAGCTAACAACTCAATCTTAGCAGGGGTGTAGTACTGAATCTGGGAACTTTCCCCCCTGCCCTTGTCCTTCCCTAAACTTGCCTCTGCTTCCTTCAGTCCATGCATATCTCCTCTTTTTTCTCTGTCAAACTCCCCTTATGTTCAGCATCTTCCTTAACCTGTGTCTCTTTTCCTTCCATCTGTTTGCCTTTGAGCCACCCAACCTCCACCACCTTCTCTAGAGTAAAGATTGCCTCATACAGTAAAGCCTCAGGAGTAGATAGCATCAATCTGAGAGGTAATTGCTTTAAATCCATCATGCCAATTTTCATTCTGACAACATCCTTGGAAGTGATAGTTGGCATATCCACTTCCATCACCACTCCTAGATTAGAACCCACCTCAAACAAGGCTTGATATCCTTTCATCTCATCTGGTATTCCTTCTACAACAACCCACACCACATGCAGTTTCCCAATCGCAGCTGATTCGTTGTTCCATTCAGACACATTTACTTCCACCTTAGTGCCCTTGACATTGAAATGGTCAAAATTGGACAACTCAACCAACCTCATTCTGTTTGGGAATCTGACTTGTAATGTGCCATTAGCTTGTTTTTTGGCCCTCCATTCCTAGTTCCACTTGAACTGATGTCTAAAACCTTCTTCTAACTGGGTTTCAGATATGTCACCTCCATAAATCACCTTAACCATTGCCATAGGATTCATATGTTCCTTAGGTGGGATAGTCTTAACATTCTGAATCAATATGCAACCCAGTCCTAGAGCCCCATATCCTACCAACTTAGCCACTGGTCTCGGTTGTTTATCATATAAGCAATCCTCAGTTCTATGAGTTGATTTCACACAGTTGATGCAAAAAACATTGACATTGTAATCTCTCACAAGATGACCTCTCTCCTTGCATCTAAGACAAACAAGCCTTTGATTCTGAAACATTCCAGGGGGATTCTGATTTGGATTTGGAGCTGGTGCTTGAATCCCTTTTGGCTGTTCTGGAGTCCCCCTTTCCTTCTTCTGTTCTTGCTCCTTTTCCTTGGTTGCACTGGGCGATACTGTTGAGTTTGTTTCTCAGTGACCCCTTGCTGACCCCCTTTTGAACCTTCCCCCACTGTGTCTTCCATACCTCGAGCTTGTTGCTTCCATGGCGGTTGTTGATTCTGACTTTGTTGCTGTTGTTGCATCTGAAGATTTTGCCGTTGAAATCCCTTATCCCCTTCCCATCTCCTTCCACCACCACCAAATCCCCCCACTGTGGGTTGCGGAGATCTGGTCGCTGCAGATTTCTCCCCCTCCATCCCCCACCTTGATTCGCCATGTGTTTCTCGCGAACCACCTTTGCGAATCGTCGAGTATCACCGGAGATTGTGCCCTTCCACCGTGATTCTCCACCTCCTACTCCAACTCGTGGCCACTCCTCTCTCTCTCTCTCTCGATTCTCCTGGGTGGTGACGAATTGACGGGGATGCACACCAAATCCCCTTGAAACCCTAGACTTGTGGAAGTGCCTCTCAAGTGTTCGACCAAAAAATCAAGGTGGGCAAGCTGTGTACCTCTACTTACCAGATCAAATACCTTTGTCTCGCTGCCCAGCGGGGCCCGAGTCCCCCCCAGCTCCACCATGGGTGTGCCTCCTTTCCACCTCATCACCTCGAAAAGCACCATGCCGCCATTGGTGGGCTCCCAAACTTTCTCCTAAACTTGGAATTCCTAGCACACATAGGTCTAGGCTTCGTCCCTCCTCTACCGAGCTCACCACTGGCTGCTTCGGCGATCGCCGGAGTAGGGTTCCTCCCGTCGTATCACCTCTCCTGCCTCCAAGCACGTCGCCTCTCGAATCGCCTCTCATGTCACCTCTCTGCAAACGCGTCCTCTATTAGGATTTTTATCTGCGGGTAAACAGACAAACTAGCAAAACTACCATCCCTATACGCGACCTAATCAGGAACTCCCGGCCGGCGGACCCCTTTTGTTGTGTGTAGTCGTGTAGAGACTAGAGACTTAGAGTGTAGAGAGTCGGGTGGGAAGGAACGGCACGCGGGTAGGCTAGGAGGGGGCCGCGTTTTCGTTTTGGTGGTCAGTCAAAGAAAGGGCGGTCACACAGGCGGAGAGATAGCGAAGTAACGGCACCCCCCCGAACTCCGAGGAAAAAGATCGACCACGGCTAGTCCGTCAAGGAACCAATGCATGCCCGTCGTCTCTGACCAGTGATGACCCACCCATCCGTCCATCCACTCCTCGAATTCCTCCGCCAGCGGGGGCGCCCACCGGCAGCCGGCAGGCCGGCCAGCCAACCAGCCACCAACCCAGCACATCCATCCCTCTTCGCTCTCTGCTGTTTCGTTGCCTGCGCTGCACTGCAGCAGCCTTGTGTGTTCTGCCTGCCTCGTAGCAAAAGCAGCAGCATCTCCATCCGTCTCGTCTCACATTCTCATCACTGTGCTTGACATGCACGGAGTCCCAGGCATCGAAATGTCTCCTTTCTTGCCGCTGCCGCTCACTAGTCCTACGCGGCGTGGCAGGGGCAGGCACTGCGCAACAAACAACGGCGTACGGTGGCGTGCCGGTCCATGGGATGGAACAAACGATGGAATGACAGGGAATTCCCTCGCCTGCTGTGCTTGACGAATGACGATCGCCATGGCGCGCTCGTGACTCAGCTACCTGCGCGCCTGTGCATGCAATTGCATTATTATTCCTGCCTTTCACTTTGATTAGTGTGTGATTTGCTCAACGGTGATGCCCACAAGTGAATGAATAGAATGGATGGATCTTTGGCGCCATATTGTCACAGTGTGTGAGTAGGTACCTATCTGTACCTTTTCTGCAGGGTGGAAAGGGAAAGATCCCTGAATCCTGACGAAAAACCAAAGGCAAAGTGGACGGAAAAGAATGAGAAAAGAACAGAGAAAGAAAGGGTTGGCATGGCATTCAGATTGGCAGGGCACTAGGGCAGCATGCAGAAAGACAAAGAGATGCAATGCAACAACAGCAGCAGCAGTAGTAGTAGAAAAGAGACAAACTAATCCCGACCCCCCTTTGTATAGAAAGCAACAATCCACACAAAGGAGGAGCAGGGTGAAAAGAACATGAGAGGGATAAAGCCTGACCTGTGAAAACCACTCTAGCACTGTCTATTCTTTCTACTCCATTCTATAAACCCCTAAAAAGTGGAATACTACTACTACTAGTTACTACTCTACCATGCACACACAAAGCTAACCTACCAAAGGTGAACTGGTGACTCTTGCCACTGCACACACCACTGTGAGCATAGCGAGGGTGCAAGACAACATTGGGGGTGAAGGCGATGCGCGCGGGGGGGTACACGGTGCACCAGGCGCTGTCCGCCGACGCGGCCGCGGTGCTCAAGCTCGCGCTGGCGCTGGCGCGACGCCGCGGGCACGCGCAGCTCACGCCGCTGCACGTGGCGTTCACGCTGCTGAGGAGCTCCTCGTCCTCGTCCTCGTCCTCGTCGCCGTCGGACCCGCCTCCGTTCGCTTGCTCCGGGGGCGAGCCGTCGTGCTGCGCCCACGGCCTCCTCAGGCGCGCCTGCGTCAGGGCGCACCCGGCCGTGGCCGCCTGCGCGCCCGCGGCGGCGGCGGCGTCGCACCCGCTCCGGTGCAGGGCGCTGGAGCTCTGCTTCAACGTCGCGCTCAACCGCCTCCCTGCCACCAATGCGATGGCCGACTGCGGGCGGGCGTGCTCGCCGGCGTCGTCGCTCGTCCCGCCCGACCCGACGCTGTCCAACGCGCTCGTCGCCGCGCTCAAGCGCGCGCAGGCGAACCAGCGGCGCGGCTGCATCGAGCTGCAGAGCCTGCAGCCGCCGCAGCACGCGCTTCAACCGCAGCAGCAGCCTCTCCTCGCGATCAAGGTAGAGCTTGACCAGCTCATCATCTCCATCCTCGACGACCCCAGCGTGAGCCGGGTCATGCGGGAGGCCGGCTTCTCGAGCGCCGCCGTGAAGAGCACCCTCGAGGAGGGGGGCGCCATGCTCCCGAGCCTCGGCGGCCACCACGTCTGTTACTCGTCCTCCTCCCCCGAGCCGCACATTGACCTCGACGCGCACGCCGCCAGCGGCGGTGGCGCGCCGTGGCCGGCTCAGTTCTTGCACCGTCCTGACACCGGTTCGTCGTGCAAGGAGGAGGACGTGAGGGCGATCTTGGAGGTGATGGTGCGGAAGCAGTGGGCAAGACCCAACCCCGTCGTCGTCGGCGACTCGGTGTCCGTCGCCGAGGCGTCGGTGGCGGAGCTCATGAGGCGGCTGGAGACGGGCGACGTCCCGGGCGAGCTGCGCGGCGCGCACGTGCTGAGGCTCCACCTCTCCCGCGTCCACCTCCGCCTCATGACCCGCGCCGACGTCGACGCCCAGGTGGCCGAGCTACGCCGGACCGCGAACTCCATCGTCGTCGACGCCAAGGCCGCCGGCCTGGTCATCTACGTCGGCGACGTGCGCTGGGCCGTCGATGATGACGACCACCACCACCACCACGCCCTCGCGGAGTACTCCGCCCCTGAGGACCACATGGTCGCCGAGCTGGCGCGCCTGATGTCCGAGCTCCGCGCGGCGTCGCGCGGTCGCGCCTGGCTCGTGGCGGCCGCGAGCTACCAGACGTACGTGCGGTGCCAGCAGCGGCGGCGGCGGCGCCGGGCGCCGTCTCTGGAGGCGACGTGGTCGCTGCAGGCCGTGGTCGTCCCCGCGGGCGCGGGCGCGGACGCAGGCACCGGCCTGTCCCTCGGCCGCCGCGCCCCTCCGGCTCCACCCCCAAGGTGCTCGACAAATCTCCCTGTTCGTTCGTACGCTTTGTTTCATTTTGCCATGCTGTAAACTGTGCCATGACCGTCATCCTCTGCTGCTGTTCTTCTCTGCTTTGGGTTTGGTGTTGTGTACTCTGTTTGGACAAGCACACTTTGTGCTGCTTGCACAATGGTAGTACTAAAGAAATGTAGCCATGTAGGATTATATTCCACATTGTAGCCATGTAGGGCCCCTTTAAATCAAAGGATTTATATAGGAATTTCATAGGATTCAAATCCTATAGGAAATTTTCCTATTTGGCCCTTTGATTCAAAGGATTGAAACTTTTCAAATCTTATGAAATTCCTATGGAATGACACATTGCATGTGGATTTTGGAGGAAATTTAGCAAGAGCTCCAACCTCTTGGAAAATTTACTTTGAGTCTATCTCTCTCATCTGATTCCTACGTTTTTCCTGCGTTCCAATCAAACGACCATTCCTATGTTTTTCTTGTGTTTTGTAATCTTCTATTTTACACTTCAATTCCTGTCAAAATCCTATGTTTTTCCTATCCCTCTATTTTTTTCAACCCTGCGATTCAAAGGGACCCTTAGGATTTAGGAACCACTGAAATTTAATGACCTTTCTAATTTATTGAAATTTTTAGATTTGAAATAGTAGTGGTAGTATTTATAGAGTACTGTAGTAAATAGGAACAGGATGGCTTTGTGTGGATGATTCTGATTTTTTTCTTTGGAGATTCTTTCTTCTTCTTTCTGGGCCAGGCAGTTTCTGGTTGTACAAATGTACAATATGCTGGAAAGCTGAAATCCTGAACCTCTCCGATGGAGAAAAAAACAACAACATTGGTTAATGATCTTTCTGGTACACCGTTGTAGTAGGTGAACTTTTGTAGTTTGTTCGTTCCTTTTGCTTGTCTTTTCCTTCATCTAAAGGTCTAGAATATGTGCTATGGTCACTTTAATTTCATCAGAACAGGAAATTTAAAATGATTCAACCCCCATGCATTGGAACTTAATGGGCATCTCTTCTTGTTTCCATGTGGCCATGTGTAGCAGGGTGGCAGAAGATGATCAGATTGCCAAGCTTGGTGAGATCCCCACACTGGACCTTGCATTGGGAGGAGACGACGGTGGCGTGCCGGCCCTTTGCGCCGAGTGCGCCGACGGCTATGAGAAGGAAGCATCGCAGGTGAGGGCGAAGGCAGATGGCACCACCCTTGCCCTCACCTATTTCCCCGGTTGGCCACACGCAAACGAGCCCCAGACATCACACAAGGTAAATCCAATGGATGAAATCCTCTATTGAAATTGGGAATTTTCCTGACTCCACAAAGGCGAAATGGTTATAGGGGGAGTTTGGATGGGGTTAAAAAATTTTAGTCCCTGTCACATCGGATGTTTAAACACTAATTAGAAGTATTAAATATAGACTAATGACAAAACTCATTCTATAACCTTGTACTAATCCGCGAGACGATTTTACGTTGCAGGCTGAGCTGATGGAGCTGAGGAGGAAATGGGGAATCTTGTGCCAGAGGGTTCACTCCCGCAGCCACAATGATCAGGCGTCTGTTCCCTCACCGATGCCATGGTGGTGCAGACCATCATCGGTGAGCCGTGACGGCGAGGCGCGAACTGAGCTGAATCCAAGCTCTGCCGGGCTACGCTTAAGCTTTGGCACACCGGGCGATCATGACCGGAGCGAGAGCGTCGACGAACGTGGTGCCGACACTACACTGAGCCTCCTGCCTCCGGACTCGGCGGCGGCGGCGACGACGTGGCAGGATACTCGTGGTCGCTGGAGCGAGGGAGGAGGAGGAGGAGCAGACGGCGAGATGATGACAGTGAACGGATTGGATGCCACCGTCGACGCGGTGAGCATCCGGCGGGTGTGGCTGGAGCAGCTGCTGCTGTCCGGTGATCTCAAGAGGAAGGCGGAGAAGGGCGGGCTCTCCGGCGAGCCCAAGCCCCGTCGGAGAGGCGGTGTCAGCCTCGACCTGAACATCTGCGCCGCGGCTGACGACGACGACGACGGTGGCGACAGCGAAGAGGAGGCGGCTCCGAGTGACCTGACAAATGAAGGTGGATGTGACGGCGGCGGTGAGCCGGGACGCCTCGACGACAGCCTCGACAGCCACGAGTAGGGCGCGGGTACGGTTGCCATCACCGCGATGGCGGCGCCGTACAGCAGGGAAGAGCCCGGAGGATGACGGGGAGAAGGTGGTCGTCACCTCTCTGGTTTTGGTTTCCAATTGAAGTGATCAGGAGAGCTTGGAATGTGGGACTTGCAGAAATTCAAACTATGAAATTGGCGGGAAGGGATGTTAGGCTAGTCCCCTCCTACCCAATAGGATCCATGGATGTGGACACTGAACTGAATTGTTCTCATGGGCTCCGAATTTTTGTCCTTTTTGTATTTTCTGGAGTACTTTCGGTCTTAGAATTAGTCTCTTCCTAAGTTATATGTAAAAAAAAATGTTTACTGCAGTAGTATTGGGATCTTAGGTGCAGACTAGTGATCACTCAACACCCTTTTGTTATTAGCTGATATCTTAATCAATGTAATATTTTCATCCCCACAAAGATTACTGTCGACAATTTTTTTGGGAGAAAACTTTCGATTCTTAGACCATTGGATTTGTTCCAAGACTCGTGCAAACATGGATGAGAAAATAAAAAACATTTGATGCGCCTGTAAGGAATCAAATGCTGGACCGTTGTTTAACTTCCTGCTTGGATTGTGTTACCGCTTCACCACATGACTATTATGATAGAAATATTTCATTTATATAGAAGTTACATACAAGTTACAATAGTTACATTTAGAAATTTTTCTCCCAAAAAAGTATTTCCTCTAGAACACATTTCTTGTTTCATGTATATTATCTAAATAGTTATGTTTTTTTAAAAAAATTAACAAGATAGATTAATATGAGTATTAATCTATCTTTTCAAATATTTAATAGAATTTAATAATTACTTAGGGACATAAAAGAACGATGGGATTGAAAATCCATCTCCCTTTGTTCATAATACAGAACGCTGATAAACTAAATTTCCTCTTCGATTCCAAATACTCCTGTAGTGTGTATTACGTTTCATGGCAGTTCAGGCGTTTTTTATAATTTGCCCAAACCGAAAAATTCCCTAACCGAGACGAAATTTCACCGCACTGAGATTACCAGTGCCGTTTTTATTTCCTCCAACGCCTTTTTCTTTTTGGTGATAGAGGGAAGGCATCCACGCCTCCCCACGAGAACAAGAAAAATCAGACGGTGATACATGCAATGTACTCCTACAGGAGAGACATTTTTTCTGACCACCTCTCCGTATAAATGTCGCCCTTTTCCGCAGCTTTAACCTCCTGTTCCTTTCTTTCTTTTTCTTTCCTTGGCCCCTCCGGGCTTTTTGTTTGGAAGCAAGCGGGCACGCTGGAAAAGGGAAAAGACGTTGGAATTTCGGAGCAACAGGAGGGAGGAAGGGAGGGACGAGGGATGCTGACTGGATGAACCGCGGTGCTCCCGAGCCCGACGCGGCAGACGGCGGGCGGCGGCAGGAGATGACAGGCAGCCAATGCCCGGATGGCCCCATATGGGACTATGAGGTCTGCTGGTGAAGTGTGCTGCCTTTCCGAACTCATGAAAGAAGGAAAGATCATGGGCCGAGTAGGGGTGGCAATTTCCCCGTAGGGTACGGGTACCCGCCGGGGACCCACCCCTACGGGTCCAGGGTCGAGGCTATATTTGGCCTCGTGGGTGCAGCGGGGCGGGGCCCCGAAAATATGCGGGGTGCGGGGCCGGGTATGTGTTTCCACCCGCGGGTGACCCGGGGACTCGAAAATACCACATATAGCCCACTTAAAATGTGGCCCAATAGGCCCAGCTTGTTAAGATAATTTTTCGTATACCATCTTATATACCCAGCCATACAGGAATGCGTATCAATCAACCACCCAATCCAGATCGAATCAATGTGTAGCTACTGCATCAGCGCTGCCGCTGTCGTTGCACGCGATAGCGACACTGCGCGGCCACTTCGCCTCGTCAGCTCCTTGCACCGCCGCCCATGTCGGCGGCTGCGCCGTTGTCTCGGCCGCGCGTTGCCAGCTACTGCGCTTCCACCGTGCCGCCGCCCATGCCGGCTGCTGTGCCGTCATCTCGGCCCCGCGTTGCCGGCTGTTGCGCTTCCATCGTGTCTCCAGTTGCGGTGCCTCCATCACGCGTCGCTGGCTGCTGCGCCTTGGCCTCCATCATGCGTTGCCCGACTGCTGCACATCCGCCACATCTCCGCCTCACCGACCCCCTCGACAAGCCGCAATCCTAGTTTGCCCTCTTTCTCTACAACTTGCAAGGCTCCTGTCGGGGTCGGGGATCTGTAGGGGCCAGGGTCGGGGGAAGCTTCTCACCCGAAGATATTACCGGGGCCGGGGGATAAAGTCGGGGGTTGGGGACGGGGCCGTTCCTACTCAACCTGGCTCCGACCCGCCCCGTTGCCATCCCTAGGGCCGAGTTCATACTCGGTTGGAAAAAAAAAGGATCGTGAGGTGAGTACTCTGAAAAAGTATACTTTGACTCCCTCAGCTATTGCCCGAGTATGATTTATATCCTCCAACCACAAAATCGGGTATATCGACTCCTCCAACCACAAAACCGATGCAAACAATGTCCCTGGGTGGTTTTGGAGGTGGTTTTGGTTGACGTGGCGCCTACATGGCGGTTTTGACCGGGTCTTTATACTACGTGGCGCTTATGTGGCATTAGAATATAAAAACATAAAAAAAAATGTAGGACCCATATATAAATTTTTTTAGTGTGGGACCCACCGACATCCTCCCTCACCTTCTCTTCTTTCTCGTCCCTCCCACTCTCTCCCTTATCTCCCTTTCTCTCCCCCGGCCTGGTAGCGTCGTGGTCGTCGTTGCCCATGGCCACCAGACGCCGGCGCCGGCGCTGCCGCCTCGACCGCCGCCCCCACCGCCACCGCCACCGCTCCTGACCACCGGCGAGCTCTAGCTCCTTCCCCGTGCGCAGACGGCCTGCGAGCTCCTGCCCGCGCGCGGACGGCCGACGAGCTCCTCCCCCGCCCGCGAACAGCCTGCGAGTCGCCGTCGCCATCGTCAGCTCCCTCCGCCATCCACGGCGCCGACGGCCTCCTTCTGCTGCGCGCGCTTTAGGAAGATCACATGGTGCTCGTACGCTGCCAGCGCCGGGATAACCTTGCGGAGGAGCTCCTCCAGGGCGTTGATGGCGGACGCGACCTTGTCAAGGAAGCCAGCGAGCAGGGACGGCTGTGGGCGGAGGTGGAACATGCCGGGGTCGTTGTCACCGGCAGCAGCGGCGACGATCTGGCTGTCACAGGCGAGGTAGAAAGTCTTCCCGTTGAGAGACCCGATAACGTCGCGGAGGTTGGCAACCATCGTTGGGTCGACCGCCGCCGTGTCTAGGCGAACCAGGAGCAACACGGGCACCACCATCGAGATCGATCCGACCTAGCTAGCTAGCTCAAAACAAAAAAAAAAATCAGCAAGATGAGATAATCAAATTGAATGGAATTCTGTGATCACTTCCTGTACGTAGAAGCAAAATCAAAGGCAATCGAGATGAACTTACGTACCTAGCTAGCTCGCCGGTGGCCGGGGAAGCAGCATTTGACTGCAGCGGCGGCGGCGGCGCAGCCGGGGGGACAGACCCTATCCTCGCCTCCCGCCGTCCGCGATCCTGCTTTCGCCACCCAAACCCGTCGCCGGCCTCCACCACGTTGGAACTCAGCTGTCGCCGGGGGGACGGGACCCACGGAAGCCAGCGGCGCACTGATGGCCTTCGCCGGCCTTCCGCCTCCCCGCTTGTCCTACCGACACACGAGATGACATGTGGGGCCCACATGTCGATGGGTCCCACTTTTTCTGTGTGAATGACATGTCGGTCCCACTATTTTTCTGTGTGAATGACATGCCGGTATGTTAGAAACCCAAATGGGCTGCCTGTGGGCTGTCAACCACTTTCAAAGCAAGGCCGAAGCAAGCAAATCAGGAGCATTATATAAGCAGCAGGAGCAGCACCAGAGAGGGGATCGAACAGAGAACGAACAGAACCGGCTGAGGGGCTTCTCGGCGGCGATTTGGAACCGGGCTTGGTTCCTTGTCGATCTTTACTCTCCCTCTTCCTCTACCTGTCTAGAAGCTACTAGAACCTTCTAGCCTTTTATCCTATCATTTTCTACCTCAAAACCCCTCCACTATTGTAACAGACTAGGTTGTTCCTTGTGTTGGATTTAGTACTTCTACTCCTGAAATTGCATTGTTGAGTGGGTCTCTAACAAACCTGGTATCAGAGCCACCAACCCCCACCAAATTCACCAAGCAAGCATCCATGGAAAGTGAAGATAAGTTGGATTTGATTTTGAGGCGGATGGAGGAATTCGAACGGAGGCGGGTGGAAGCAGATCAGAGAAGGAGAGCTGAATACCAGTCTCTCAAGGTGGCGGTAGAATCGTGGATGCCTGAAATCCATAAGAATGCTGAAGACCTGCAGATTTTGGTTGGGGATGAGCAGTCCAAGGTGACGCCCACCACCTGTTCGACGTAGTGCCCCAATGGCAGCAGCCCGAGCACAACAGCGAGATCCATCTACGACGACGAGGGGACTACTCCGACGATCATCCTGGAGCTTGGGGATGGTGAGGACAAGATTCATGACCCTGACATCGTCGCCAAGGTCTCTCTTGAGGTCACACCCACCATGTGTTCGATGAAATGCTCTGTCCCCGACACCGAGTCCAATCTCATCATGGTTGCGGAGGTGACCTATGCCAGCACAGCCACTGTCTCTATGGAGTTGGTAGCTGCTCAGGAAGCCATTGGTGCCACGTACAGCGACACCTCTGACCATTCCAAGTTGACGCACACCAAGTGTTTGACGGTTGTCCTCGATGCCATTGGTGACACCGGTCAAGCTATGGTTGTGTTCCAGACCTGGACAGATGCATTCAAGGACGTTCCAACCTCCGTTCAGTTCATGGACTTTTTTTCATGAAGTATGATGGCTAACATCAAGTGGAACACACCAATGCCCATTAAGTATTCGGTGCAGTTCCTTGGGCATGACATGATGACTACAAACCCTCTTGATGTTAATCCATGGCCACCTCCTTGGTCAGATGGAGTGATTAGAGGCCGAGACTTAAGGCCTTCGCCATGGCCGGGATTAAATTTTTGTGGGACGGTGGAACACTTGATGCCACCATGGCCACCCCCAACTCAGCCAATGCCTCTAACGTATCCATCAAAATTTGGCCTTGTGTTTACAATAGATGGAGTACACATTGATTGGAATCTTGTTGTTGCAGTGCATAAGATATTTTGGAGTGTGATGATCAAATCAGTGAGACATGTACCAAGCATCAGTAGTGAGCTGGATGACATCCAAGGGAAATCCACTAGGATATTTATTGTTGTTAAAATTCCTGAAGGATGTAATCCAAAGAAATCAAGCTCTGCGACAACAGAAACACAAGTATCACATTTATTCAACTCATTCTCAGAACTATTAGATGTGCACTTGACCACTACTGAAATGAGCCAAGAAGTTCGTTGTTGGCAGGGAGCTCTTGAGTTGCAAGTCAGTGTGATCTTCTGGTTACTGGCAAGGAACATCCATCCTCCTAAAATTGAAGTACAAGTACTGGAGTTTTTATTGAGGGTGCTCATTGGCAGTTTAAGTGAAAAATACTCTGGTAATACTATTGATCTTGAGGTGTGTTTTTGGAAAATAGGTATATGTTTACACAGAGATGTCCTTAAGTTCCCAATTTCACAATCAACAAATTCCTGCATTACAATTTTTGTGTGATCGACATGATGCTTTCAGTTTTGACACGAGCATGGAGTGGAACAGTGATACAAGAAAAATCATACAAGAAACAATGAGCTTACTTGAGCATTCAGTGATGATTTTTACTAGCATGCTGGACCTACAATGGTTTGTAATTAATACAGAAAAGTGGACTTCAGGATCAGTACCATCCTCATATATTGCTCTTGCTGACAAGTACAAGACTTCAAGTTTTTCCATGGTCTATTGCAGTAAACTGAATCACTCTCACAAAACAATAATTGTGCACTTACTGATCAGGAACAAGCTCAAGACATGGATATCTGAAATGATTGGAAGAACTGATCGTGTTGATGCTAAGTTCACAATTGTTTGTCAGCTATCAAGATCACTTCAATCTGGGACACATATTCTTGACCTTTATTCTGCAGAGGAGCACATTTTTGACAATTTCCTTAATGCTATCATGTGGTGTTCAGTTCCTATCAAGAATCTACATAAACAGTGGGACCCTGGTGGCTCTGGTGATACTTTGCATCGGCTTGGGGACAAGCCGAAATTTAAGGAGAGGAGATTGTTAGGAACCCAAATGGGCTGTCAACCACTTTCAAAGCAAGGCTGAAACAAGCAAATCAGGAGCATTATATAAGCAGTAGGAGTAGAACCAGAGAGGGGATCGAACAGAGAACGAACAGAACCAGCTGAGGGGCTTCTCGGCGGCGACCTGGAACCGGGCCTGGTTCCTTGTCGATCTTTACTCTCCCTCTTCCTCTACTTGTCTAGAAGCTACTAGAACCTTCTAGCCTTTGTATCCTACCATTTTCCACCTCAAAACCCCTCCACTATTGTAACAGACTCGGTTGTTCCTTGTGTTGGATTTGGTACTTCTCCTGAAATTGCATTGGTGAGTGGGTCTCTAACATGGTCCCATGTATTTTTTTACTCTAAAATGCCACATAAGCGACACGTTATCGACACGTGGGACGAATAACAGGTCAACACTGCCACGTAGGCTCCACGTCAGCCAAAACCGCTTCCAAAACCACTCAGGGATATATTTTGCACCGGTTTAAATAGTTGGAGGAGTCGATATACCCGGTTTTGTGGTTGGAGGTTATAAATCATACTCGGACCATAGTTGAGGGAGTCAAAGTATACTTTTTCTAGTACTCTGCTGCCTTTTGAGTTTCCACCTCAGGTGGTATTCGGATCCACGGACTAAAGTTTAGTTCCTGTCACATCGGATGTTTGGACACTAATTAGAAGTATTAAACGTAGACTAATGACAAAACCCATTCCATAACTTGGACTAATTCGTGAGACAAATCTATTGAGCCTAATTAATCCATGATTAACCTATGTGATGCTACGGTAAACATGTGCTAATTATGGATTAATTAGGCTTAAAAAATTTGTCTAGCGAATTAGCTCTCATTTACGCAATTAGTTTTATTATTAGTCTACGTTTAATACTTTTAATTAGTGTTCAAATATCTGATGTGACAGGGACTAAAATTTAGTCCATAGTCCATGTATCCAAACACCACCCGAGATTTTGTAACGGACTCAAAATTTCAGGGAAAATTTTTTGCAAAATATTTTAAGTCATGCTCTTGTTGATTCTTACGCTAAGCGACCTTACTTTCTCTTAATCTCTTTTACTTTGGATCTAAGCTTTATTTGCAAAGTTAATCGCTCCCTTTTAAATTTTACAAAACCTCTTTATTTATTTTCTTTAATCTCTAACTTTGGCTCTAGATTATATTTCCTTTGACTCCTTTACCGAACATCTCCAACATCCACAAATACCCTTACAATTCCCGCTCAACCATCTCTAGAGCACATGAAATATCAATCTCTCTAGAGTTAATACTTTTTTTTATTTAGAGCTTACCACACTACCACCAAATCCAGTTTTATCTTCCACCAAATATTTCTCCTTTGATCTCTACCCAAACATATGAAATACCAATTCTTATTTTTCCCTAGAACCAATACTTTCCTTTTGATCTCCACTCAACTATCTCCAGAATACATGAAATGTCATCCTCTAACCTCCCTAGAGTACAATTTCCAATTTCCTCAGAGTTAATACTCTCCCTTTGAACTCTACCCGAATATCTCTAGAGTACATGAAATGTTGATACCTTTTCTTTAGATCTCCACCTAAATATCCCCAAAGTCCATAAAATATCCTTTTCAATCCACCTTCGAGTCAATATACCCATACTTTAGAAGTTTATCAATCTACCACCAATTCCGTTCCTATAAAAATTCCCATCCACATATACCTCTAAATCCAGTTCTATACTCCCACAAATATTTCCCCTTTGAAATCTCGTTCATCTAAATTATCCATTCAAGATTTCAAAGTCCACTATTTAGCTTGGGCCAATGTTTTCCCGATTGACCCAACTCTCTGTTATATCCCATTAATCATTTTTATCTCTGGGACGAAACCAGTATAACTCCTTTTTTGTTGGAATTTATTTTGGATCACACCTTTATCTAAACCTATCCCCAAAAACCTTTATTTCCTCTACATTGATCCAAAATATTCTAGGGTCAAGTTCCTGTTTTGATCGAGCCGCCAGTTTGATTCCTATGGCTTGATTTCCTCCTCGGCACAAGAACTATACTATCACAAATAATTGAGTGATTGCTCTTGTGCTAAGAAACTTATTTCCAATCCCTTCTATTCAAAATACCAACTTCCTTTAGCCACAAATATTTCACCGAGAATCCATACCACATATTTTGGAGGCTAAAATCCTAGTTATTTACCTCCATCTTTTTTTTGCTATCATCCCAAAATTTATCCAAAGTTAGAAGATTAATTATTTGTATTTTCTTTCCTCCCATTTGACTATTTAAATTTTACATTTTTAAATATTAGAGAAACTATTTTGTGATAAGTTTTATATTTGGTCCTTATTGAGTTCTATAAGATTGGAGCATATTTATTTTTATCCTTTTCAAAATTTATATCTCAAAATAAATATCTTTGATTTTATTTTAAAAATATTTCAAACTTCTTTTTTGCTTTAAAAATTTTATATTTAAATTCTTTTTATAAAGTTCAAAAGGCCCCAAACTTTTCTCTTCTAAATTTTATCTCCTTTAAAATCTATTTAAAGCCTTCCATCCAAGTTCAAAAAGTCCACAACCATCTATCCTTTAGTTTTCATCCCCTTTGAATTCCAATCAAAATCCTCCACACAAAATTCCTATAGACTCCTATTCATTTTGGGCCTAAATTCCTTAATTCGGCCCAGTCAGTACAAGTCTGTATTCCCTCCCTCTTTCCTTTCCTTCCTGTGGGCGCCGCCGCTCACGGCTGCGCCGCCGTCCGTGGTCTTCTGCCGCCGTCACCGCTGTCTTGCTGACCACGGCAAGTCATCGCCGTGCCGTGACTCTCCTCCTCCGCCGCCCAATCTCGGCGCTGCCGCCACGAACGCGCGCCGCCTTTGTCGTCCAATGGAAGAACAGAACCGGCGCCGTCTCCTTTTCCACGCCGCCGTCACAAAGTTCTCCTCACCCTTCTCCTCCGCGAACCGCCATCGGAAACCGATCTCCGCAGCCTATAAAAGGACGACGAGGTCGCCCCTTTTTCTTCATCACAAGCCGAGCTCCTCAAGCTCTCTCTCTCTTCCTCAAGACCGGCTGCCGCCATCGTCGGCCGATCTCCCTCACCGGAGCTCCACAAGACAAATCCTTGCACCACTAGCTTCACCTCACTCCGGCGAATCCATTTTACCCATTTACCCCTTCTCTCCCACCTCAAATCAAGCCACTACCACCACTCTTCTTGCTGCCGCGGCCAAGATCTTGCCGCCGCCGTTCCGGCCATTCTCCTCTCTCCCTATGCCTTCCTCCACCTTCCTCGGGTGCGCGTCAGTCGGGAACACCACCGGCCGCAGACGTCGCCGATCCTCGGCCACCGGAGCACCGACGCCCTTCTCCCTCCCTCTCCTCTGTACTCGGCTGGAAGGAGAAGAGAGGAAGAAGAAGACGAGAAAAAGAGGTTGAAGGAACACCTGACAGTGGGCCCCACTTTTATAAAGTAATTCTTTTTCCTTTTATTCCAATTCCAATCTTTGAGCATCCATATCTCCCAAACCACACATCCAATTCCAGAAATTCTTTGACCTAAATTCATATAATTTCAAACCCTTTATTTTGATACCAAATTTTCTATTTTAAAATTTTATTTAAATTTCTTTGTTTAAATGCCTTTTCCTTAATTATTTATTTACTTTCTAATTTTAAACTATTTTAATTAACATTTAAAAATTATTTTATTTAAATACCTTTACATCCCTTTAATTTTAAATTTCTTGTTTTATTTAAAAACTTTTAAAATTAAATTATCCTTTAATTTCTTTAAATGCCCTTTTCTTTATTTTAAAATACCATTTTAAATTTTATTTCTTTAATCTCTTTTAAAACCCCTTTTTGAATTCAAATTTCTTTGATACTTATTTTTATTTTTAAAACTATCCCTTAACCACCAAATAACCGCCTTGGGACTTTATGGCTTCCATGGAGACATTCGCGTGGTCTCAAACCCCGACGTCAAACCGTTGGTCGTAAAACCCAGCATCACCTAATCCTAAGGTCGAAGTGTTGCTCTTCGCACCCCACGCCTCGACGCGTACAGTGGTCGGAGCCTCGCTACTCCTTCGACCTCCACAACACGCCGCACACTAGTCCTTGAGCTATGTGCGATCCTAACCGCTCTACTATCACTCACGACTGTAGGATAACACTATTCCTCCCCGCAAACCTGGATAAACCTTCCCAACTCTCTAGTCGTTGTGCCACTTGATTATAGCATCGACTAGACGAGCCGATATTTAGCCGCTATGTTGCCTATCCTTAGCATCGGCTAACCAACTCCAAATATCTAGCCATCGTGCTACCCAACTCTAGCACAGACTAGAAACCAAATCCACCAAATAAACCCCACCTATCCAAATTTATCCTTTCTTGATTTTATTCAATTCCCAACCTTTAGAAACCAAAACCTCTCTTTTATTCTTCAAATTAAAAGTTTATTTTAAACCCCTTTCCTTTTTCCTCTCGCCTCGCTCCAATTTTTTTATTCCTTGGCTTTATCGCTTCTTTGTAGCAATTTGCTTATAGGCTTTATTTGCTATCTTTTCGTATCCGTACGTTAGACCATACAACAAGTTTTATCAGCATCCAAGGAGCTAACGTGGACCCAGATGGCTACGCTGAAGCCGCGGGAAATCTTAAGGCGCAAGGCAAGACATAACTAAAATTTGATCATATAGAAAACTTAATCCTCATATTTAATTTGATGCATAATATCCTTTAACATCTCATGGGTAGATGTTATAATTCGGAATAATATTGTGGTAATTATTAATGCTTTCTAGCATTGTTACATGAGGTTATTGAAAGATGCATTGGACATCATTTTATGTGGTTTATTATTCAAATATCTTTACAAACTTAGGAATCCGGTTAAAATGGGCATTTATGAATTGAGTTTGTGAATATTGTGATTATGAATGTTGTTGAATGATGATGATGGTGTGGGGAGTTTGGAAAGTTTTGGGTGGTTTAACCGGATTATAATTACCCCCTTATACCATAGGAAATGACATAGTTGCATCAATCCACACGACCAAGAAATTGGACTTAGCCTAGTACATTGTCCCACTATATGAAAGACTGTTGGGTGGCTCTATGAGCGGTTGGGGTGAACATGCGTAAGGAGTTAGGGGGCAGTGTTTCACAACAGTGGGATTCAGGAAAGTGTGACGATATAGATACCTTGCCCTAGACCTGGTAAGAGTTCGACCACTATGATGAACCAAGACCCCATTGTGCAGTAACTAGTAGTAAGTGGGACCTTCGAACGGCTCTATTGTTCTCAGCCTAGCTAGCTGTGGGCATCGTGCGTGTAAAGCTGGACAGTCTCTGCAGAGGTGAATTAAATCATTCGAATGTGCCGTACTCCCGGTTCTGGAGTTGTGTCATCAGGGTGATTCCTACTCCTGAAGTATAAGTAGTTTTAAAATTTTAAATGTTGATGATAAAGATGGTTTATGATTTTTTATTACTTCTTTACTTTACCATTGTTTTAGCTATTTATATCTATTTACACTTAATTATTTATAATATGTTTTGCTGAGTACATAAGTACTCACCTTTGCATAATTTGATATATAGATATTGTGCTAACAAGAAGATCAGAAGGAAGCGAGGTCTACAACAACGACGAGTTTATCTAGGCTAGTCTACACTCGAGCGTTTGCCTGTGGAGTTCTTTGGAGTGTACTAGTTGTAATTCTAGTAGTTAAAGAGTTTAGGAGTTTAATACTTTGGATTTTCTTGTATTTCAAATAAGGATATATTAGTTTGGATCTTTTCACCCTTTAACAGTTGTATAATTAGCATGTATAAACAAATTTGTGTAAATAATCGAAAGCTGTTCTGTATATCAATCTGTGCGTGATCGAAATCCTGGACGATCACGAGTGGATTTTCGGGGCACCAAGCTTAAATTGGGTGTTCCCACAGATTTGGAATGAAATATCGCGAGCTGAGTAAAGTTCATATTTAAATTTTGTGTCAAAATATTTGTTGTTCTCATATTTCAAAGCACTTTTTAGAAATGCTCTTTCCTCAATACAGTCATACGATAGAACTAAAGAAGAAAAACAACGGACCTCTCATCAAGTGTGGAGTTACAGGTATCAAGGAGAAACACATTCTGATAGGCTATGGCACCCTCTTCACTCAACGCTATGTTATAAAGGTAGCCTGGCCTCTCGTCCACGACCACCATGTTCATCATTCTTCTGTGATTGATGAAGATTTCACTCCTTCCATATCTTCCAACATAAGCGTCGCATCAAACGCCTAACAGGTTGTTCTGTCCATCCCCTTGTGAGAGTTAGCCCACCAAACGGTAAGGTCTGCTACGCCGGCGCCTAGGTCGAGCACATATTTGAAGATAATGCTGGACAATGCCCAAACTTGCTTGAAGAAGCTACATTCGTTGACTATGCATGGTTGCAAGTTTGCAGCACCGCCACACAAAGAAGGCATGCTAGCTACGTTGGCCATCCATGTTTCTCAAAATTGCCCCAAGGTATGGCGTTTCTCGAGTAGCCAAGTCAATGAAAAACTTATAACGGCCAAGTAGGTCTTCTAGTGGAACTCGCTGCAGATGGATGGTAAGCGGCCACCGCATAGAAAGTCTCAAGTCACCAACACAAAGTACTCATTATAGATGACCATATGTCTCAAGGCCTGACGGCCCGGGCCAAGGCCCGGCCTAGGCAAGGCACGGCCCGACTCGGGTCGTGCCCATGCCTGCCTGGCCCGACAGTCGTGTCGTGCCCAGGCTGCTACCTCGTCACGCTGGCTGGCACGGCCTGACACAAAGTTCAGGGATGCAAAATAGACTTATTTTCAACCATATGTAAGGCACGGCACAAAGAATAGGGAGGAAAAATAGATGTATTATATGGCACGGCCAAAGAGTAGGGACGTAAAATAGACTTATTTTAGCTATATATGTCATAGCCCAAAGAAGAGAGAGGGGAAATAGACTTATTTCAAAGAAGGCATGATGAGCCACCCATGCTTTCGGGCCGGCACGGCACGGCTTGACTGCTGGTGGTCCGTGCCTGGGCCTAAGGTGCAGGTGCAGCCCGTGGGCAAGCACGACACGACCCGAAGTGCCAACCGTGCCATACCGGCTCGATCGCCTCGGGCCGTGCCTAGCCCGTGCCTGGGTCGGGTCGTGCTAGGCGGGCCTTATAACCATCTATAGTAATTATTGCCAGTCGGGCTTCCATGGTATTAGGATATGTCACATCCACCCATCTATCTATTATATTAATAAAGTAATAGAAAAAGGAGTCTCCACGTTCGCTCTCACGGCCTAGAAATCCTCACATTAATTAAAAAATAAGAAAAAAGAAAAATAGAATTAGATTAGGATTAGTTAAAAACTGAAAAAAGGGAAAAAAAGGTATATTAAGACACTCGAAACGGACAATATATTGAAATGAGATTAGGATCAGTCAAACGGACAAGGATATATTAAACGGATGAAAATATGACAAGAAAAAAAAAACAAACGGACACGTATTCATGAAACTGTCGAACATTAATAAGAAACGGACTCTCTGGTCATAGTGTATTACCGTGGAAACGGACAAGAGTTTAGACTCCAAGTCAAAATAATACAATTTAAAATACATGAAATTCAAAATAAAAACTAAAAATTAGAAGAGGAGTGAAGGTAGAAATACAATTTAGATTATTCTGAATTTTTTATTTTAAAAATAAACAAATACTAATAGAGACAAGAGTTATATAGAATTTACTTAAAAAAACTTCATATAGAAATACAATTTAGGAGAAAGAAATATGAATTTCGAAGTGAAATTAAAAATAGTTAATATTGAGAGAAGAACCCATGTAAAAATAAAATTTAGAAACAACAAAGGTTTGGATTAAAGATAAATATTATGGAGAAAGAGTTAAGTAGGAGAACAATTTAGAAATATTTTAAATTCAGATTACAAACAAATAGTATGAATATAAAAAGTTCAAGTAGAAATAAAATTTTGAATATATTTAATTCAGGTTAAAAACAAATATTATTGAGAAAAGAGTTCACGTACGAGTACAATTAAGAAAAAAATATGGTCTATTTAAATTTAAATTTTAAAATATCTATAATTAGGTAAAATAAAAAAAAATTAAAAAGGAGATTCCATGTAAGAAATATGATTAACAAAATTCAGAATTTAGGATTAACAATTACAAAAAAATAATATTTTTGTTAGGAGTCCATGGAGAAATACAATTTAGAAACATCCAAAAGTTCAGATTGAAAGTAATAAAACTAACATAAAGACTCCACATAGGAAAATCGGATTGAAGAAAAATATTATAGCGAAAATAGTTTTGGGAGGAGTGCAGTTTAGAAATATTTTAAAATCGGATTAAAAATAAATAATATTGAGGGAAAGAATCCATGTAGAAATAAAAGTTACAAATGTCTTAACTTCAGTTTGAAAATAAATATTAGTGAGAAAACATTTTATGTAGAAGTTGATTTAGAACTATTTTAAATGTGAATTAAAATAAATAATATTGATAGAAGAGTCCACATTTTTACAATTGAAGGCTAGCTCTTCTATTAGTTCTATATTAATACTATGAGATAAAAATTAGCTAAAAAATATCACGTAAATTAGCTAAAAAAACTAGCTGATGAGATTGGATCTTAACCCTTTACCAATGCGACAGGAGTTCGTAAAGTCCAAACTGTGAGAAACATTAACAAAATAAAATATAAAAATACTCAGTAACATAGTAATATTGATAACGATAGAGCATTTTTAATTTAAGGTTATAAACTATTATGAATATATAATACAATATGCCATCTTTACTAGGTGGAAGAATGTCATTCCAGGTAGTGGAAAGATGCAACTATAGATACAGATGTAGGGAAATAAGACAAACAAATATGCCATAGGATTTATGTATATTTGATTTACTAGCAAAAATGCCCGTGCGTTGCAACGGGTAAAAAAAATAATCCAATGACAATAGACATTTTTCAAGCGTACCCATATCAATGATAATGTTTCTATGGATCGTTGTAGCTAACACAATTAGAAAATTAGAGCATCTTTATGTAATGACCCAAACTCGATGATGGCAATCTTTTTACCAATGCTTGCTTTAACTAAAATAATTGGATTATTCATATAACAATATACATATAATAAAAAAATATTCTTTCAATATTATTCTTGCAACCAATAATAGGTTAATCAAATCCTACACTCAGGATCAAGTCTACACAAAATAGTCACCGTGCACTCTTCTTTAAATAACAATTAAAAATATGTTTATTTTTAATACTATTTTCATATAATATGTTATTAAAAAAAGTCTGATAATGATAATTGCATACAAAAAGTGCAGGGATTAGATGAGGAAACAAATGATGTGTAGGAAATGATGTGTAGGAGATGGAAAAATATCGATGGATCTTATCCGACCCAAGCGTCCATCAATTTTATCTCGCTTTGAGTCGGACGGTTTCTCGGAGCGGTTCTTTTTATAAACGGCGGTTTTTTTCTCGCATTGAGTTGGATGGTTTCCTCTATTTTTTTTTCGAAATGATGGTTTTTTTCTCGCATTAAGTCGGACGGTTTTCTCGAACCTTATTTTGAAACATCGGTTTTTTTCGCGTGTTGAGTCCGTTTGTTTTTTTTGATCTGTTATTTTATAAACAGTGTTTCATCGGTTAGTTTTTTCAGAGCGGCTTTTTTTTATAAACAGTTTTTTTTTCTTGTGTGGTTTTTTGAAACCATTTTTTTAGAAATGGTGTATTTCTTTCTGATAGTTTTTAATAGCATTTTTTTTGTTTTTTTCAGACGAAGGAAACCGTATTTTTCCCGCGCATTTTTTTGGAAATTATTTTTTTCTTGCGCATTTTTTTCCTTTTTAACGGATGATGGAAACTTCTCTTTCTAAAAAGTTAGATTAGATTGATAGATTAGATTAGAGTTAAAGAGATATATACGGATAACAAGGGGCGACTTTAAGTTTGGTCGGGTCGTTTTTTCCTCCTTTTCTTTTTACGGAGTTTGAGTTAGATGTTTTTTTTTCTTTTTTTTTATTACGGACGAGAAAACCTCTTTTTCACGAGTCGGACTTTTTTTTTCTCTACGGGAGTCGGTCCTTTTTTTCCTTTTTTTACGACAGAAGGTTTTTTAGAGATAGATATTTATTTTTAATTAGGTATTTATTCACGCGTGTTTCCCTTCAGATAGAAACTTTTTTTTTCGCACTATTCTTTCCTTTTGTAGGAAGATGGAAACTCTTTTGTCGCTCGGAATTTTTTTTATTTGGAATCGGACAGAAACTATTTTTGTGGGTAATTTTTTTATAATTAAAAACGGAAATTTCTTTACCGGTTTTTTTTGGATCGGACAAACTGGTTTTTTTCGCCCGGTTTTTTTTCACCCGGTTTTTTTGACGAACGATGGAAGTACCTCTTATTCTTATTTTTTAAGTAGTAGTAGATTATAATGTTACGAGAATACTAAAAATTCCATCGTGTTTGTTTTAAGGACATGGGAATTATTATATTAACCATTTGTCATTTTAAATACTTTTTCACAATAGTTTGGTCAAGTTAGGTCAAAGCTCAAAATCATTTGTCATTTTAAATATTTTTTTCACAATTGAATGTGAAGTATATATGTTATTGTACGTGGATATTTTATAGCGATGCTAACCGCGCAATCTGCGCGGGCCACTTTGCTAGTTATCTTTTATATTATGGGACCATTATCTTTTATATTATGAGACGAAGGGAGTACTAAACATAAGCATTAAACTTTTTCATCATAATCTAAATTATATAAAAATTGTTAGCGATCAAAGTTAAAACAGTACTAAGTGAATGGTGAATGGTGACAGTTATATTGGGATGGAGGGAGCTTAATATACTCCCTGATGCACGTAATTATCACGTTTTGTGCTCTAGCAACGATGGGTAAATACCCGAATATCACCTCATTTATTTAGTTTGAGCCACATTCCACACAAACATCAGATACTAACAGCACAAAATGTTATAATAATCTTGAATATTAACAAATTTACAGCAAAAGAATATACAGCACATATACCAAGATGACCAAAGAATCTGACAAACAATAACATCAAATGGATTCAGATTTCCATGGGAAAACCTGTGAAACTATTTGCAGGCAAGATGTCCGCATGTTTTCAAAAACGAACTTAACAACGGATCCGCAAAACTGTTTGCCTTATAATCCTGCTTACAAGGAGCACTGCAAAACCTCAAGTGTTCTTTCTTCTGGATACTCTGCTGGATACTGGCACCATTGACTCAAAGCTCTCGTATCCGTCATCATAAACCTTGCTGTGACGTAAGTCATGTAGTAGCTGGCTTGCTGAATCATATCCCATGAGTCTATGAAGTGTCGAATCTGAAACATTCTTGCCACTTTGTGAGGCAGCAAGGGCTGATCCAGCTTGAGTAGAGAAGCTTCTTGTGAAAGATGCTCCATATTCTTCATTCATACTGACAGGATCTCGAGTAAAGGACTCAGCAAAATGAGAAGCAGCATCCTCAGGCTTAACGACTATGCTGCCTTTGTGCTTGTTTGATTTTGAGGCTACCTCCTTACTGCTATTTGCACACGCGTGGTGTATGGCAGGAAATGATAATACAAGAACCTTGGAGCACTGGCCGCACTGCATTTTGCCCATCTTTGTTTTGGATATGTAGATATCTGATGGCATTTGAACTAAATTGAAACAGCTATTGCATACTGTAAATGGTGAAGCACCTGACACAGGCCGCAAAATATGCTTTCGCACCACTCGCTTCTGCTCCTTGTAGCTTGAATTGAGTGAGTCATGATCAATGATTGAGCTTCCAGCATATGAAGGCTGGTAATACGAATTGAACTCATCCCAAGCACCATAATTGTGTGGCATGTGCGTTTCCACATGCCCAAAATGGCAGTGTGTGCATGAATGAGGTGGCGAGAACTGGTTTCGTGGAGGGTAACTTGGTTGCTTTCCATTCCAATAATAGGACCCTAGAGTAGAGGAACTTTGGATGGAATCTGCATCAACATTTTGACTATGTTGGTCAACGTAGTAGCTACTCAGTTGTGGCTGGTACTCAAGGCCTTTCATCCGATACCTATTCTCCAAGCGCTTTTTGCTACAAAGCCTATTTAGCTGATCTCTTAGCTCATCGATCTTCTTGAGGCGCTCAAGTCGATCAAACTTGAATTTGGTTGATGATTTCAGAGACAAATTTCCTTGATTGGGAGACCCACTTGAGAGAGAACTTGATGTCCCATCCATTTGTGACTCGATAAAGTTTTGGATTGACATGAAGTCCTCAGAATCAAGTGAAAGTCCCTGATAAAGTTGATTAGCTCTGTATTTATCTGATCTCTCTTCTTCTTTCTCATTAAATATAGGTGATTTGCAGTGAATCCCATCATTTGACAAGCTTGAGAAACCAACAACAGTTGCATTATCCTCATGTGCACAGTCGGTCACATTGTTATTGCCCATATGGCTCTCCTCCTTTTGTTTATTTCCATCAGCAGTTGGCTCATCTTCTTGAAAACATTGTCCAGATTTGAGATGTCCATCAAATGAAGAAATGGTTCCTTCACATAATTTTGCACTTTCACCATCCAGCAACTGTGGATCCTTATCATGCTCACTATGAATCTCTGCAATGTCATTGTCTGCAACCATGGCATGCTCATTCCCATGAATACAGTTGATCTTGCTGTCATTTTCCAAGAGACCATGCTCCTTTTCTTCAGTTTCATCAGCTGTTAGTTCATTCTGTTGAAAACTCTGACCAGATTTCTGATGCCCATCATCATATGATGAGATGTTTCCTTCACATGGATGTCCACTTTCAGCAACCAGGGAAGTTGGAACCTTGCCATGCTCATTACCAAAATCTCTCTCTGTAATGACCTTATCCACAACCACAACATGCTGCTCCGCTGCTTCTTCTGCATCACTGAAAGATCTCTCCAGTTCTTCAATCAGTCGACCATGAGGATCACTTCGAGAAGCATCATTCATTTTGCTACCTGGAGAAAATCTCCTGCTACCAATTTGAAACTGTAGAGCTTCATTAAGTTCATTGTTGCCAGTTGCATCCAACAAGCTCTCTTCATCATCACTAAATGATAGAGATCTTTCCAATTCTTCAATCAGATCTTCATGAGATTCAACATGAAAACCTTCATTCGGCTGTGACCTCTCCTCCATTTGAATCAATTCATTACAAGACTTGGCCTCAGTTTCCTTACACAGATTGGTTCTTTCATCTAACTCTTTGCAGTTCACATTTTTATTGCTAACAGAAAATATTTGGTCAGTCACACTATCTACCTCCCCCTTCATACTATGATTAGAAATTGCTCCTGGTTCCTCACCTGCAATGTGGACAGCAGCAACATCACTACCAGCATTTCCATCAGATACACAATCGTAACTGTAACCTTTTCCCAAGTCTGTATTTTCACTTGTGCCAATATTCTCTACTTTGTCAATCAACATAGGACTAGAATCAGCTCCAGTGCACATATCATGTGGCACTTTGACCATACAACCAGTGTCTCGGATATCTGCATCAGTTGTAGGACATTTCTCCTTATTCTCATCCTCGGTAGGGGTTACGCTCTGTACAGTGGTCGTATTTTGTTCTTGATTTACTGCTTCACATGATTTTGCATCCTTGGTAGTGGAGGGAATGTTTTCCTCCACAGCGTCTTCATTAGGCTGAGCACTAGAAGAGTCAATTTTCTGTCCATCTGAGCAAGCTGATTCGTTGTCCTGAGAGGACCCATTCAAGCTACTTGAAATATTGTTGTGTTCATCAGGTTTGGATCCAGTTTGTGTGACAGACATGAATCGGTTCTTTGCTGCATCATTATAGACTTAATATAAATCAAAACTGTTTTATGCGAAGATGTAAATATTACTGAATCAGCGAATGGCAGAAATTATGAGATTTATACCTCTAAGAACAGCACCACAGCCACCGCACTGGTAGACAGAAATGGATGGATATTCCACAAGAAGCTGGAGGCATTTTGGGCATCTAACGAACCGAAGCTTATGTGCTTCCGCCGACATGATCTTGCCCCTCGCAATAAATTAACTGGAGAGGCTAGAGGTACTTCAGTCAAATGATACTACCATCTATCAAGATTTATGAACACCCTGTTGATAAAAAATATCACACGAGTTATGATCCAAAATCAGGCCATGTATGAACAATTACCAAGACTTTTAGCTAGAGGAACAGCGGCCCTGTGTTGTACACATTAGAAATATGATTTGAAGCAAGGGTAGACTTCTAGCAGTGATGTGCCTACTTCGCTTACCAGATTTCAGTTATACCGTAAATCCAATATGTGTGTACAAAATTTGTTAAATCACAAAATGTCTAAAATCAGCAAGGTAAGTTCATAATTTGAAAATGGAACAAAATAAATGGTCCAAAAACAAAGGATCTTATAAATAGATTTTTTTTTTTTTGAGGGGAAGACGGCAGGAGCTCTGCCAATTGCAAATAAGGAGGAGCAGAATTAAAGGTTGTTTTACAAGCCAGCCACGCAACCTGTAGGCACGCTCACAGCTTGCGAGGTTAAAACAAGGGGGGGGGGGGGGGGCGGGGAAACCCCAATCTTAAGAAAATGAACTGCAACGAGTAGGAGAAGGCGTATAAGGCTCATCTAGGAACTAAGGGGCTTCATCGAACTCTTTGCACAAAGCAATGATGGACTCGACGACCTGAGCAACCATGTTGTAAATGCCATTGAAGATCCTTCCATTTCTCTGCAGCCAGATGCCCCAGGCTGTGTAGATGAAAAGGCCATCGAAATTACGTCTTTGCTCCTTAACTAGCTCCTTCCTGCAAGCCTCCCACCAATCTAGCAATAGCCCCGGATAAAGAGAAAGCGAAGGCATGTGAAGGCCGAGCTTGCTCCAGATGGAGCTCCAAACTTGTCTTGCGAAGGCACAGTCCATGAGTAGGTGATGAGCCGTCTCTGGCTCAATGCCACAAAGGGGGCAGATCTCGCTGTTATCTTATAAATAGATATTACAGGGCTAGTACTACCCTGCTCTATGTTTTCTCACAGCCATGGAATTCTTTGCTATATCATCCTCACCAATATGGGAGAAGAAATCCCCCTCAGTAAATATGAATAAACTATTGCTCAATAATGTGTCACATATCTATACTACTTAAAATATCAATATTGGTGGCGCCCGTTCTACCATACCAACTCTACCACTGAAATTTAACCCCCACAATCTATACTGTTACACCACCCTCCACCCCGTTTCACTGCTGGTTCTCTCCAAATTTCAAAATCACCATACTTGTTAAATAAGAAAAATCATAAAAGTACTACTTAAACTAAGTATGTGCTTACTTGAGTTAATAAGCTAGAAACACAATTTATCCCGTTGCAACGCACGGGCTCTTGGCTAGAGTACTCCACTGTGTTCTTAACCAAGACAAACCTAATAGAGAGCTCACCGAGATTTCGCAGGCCTTCTAAATTGGGCCAATGGAGCGGGCGGTAGCCGGTTGTGGCGGCGGCTGCCGGCGGCCGCCGCACTAAGCCTGCGGGCACCGGGAGGGCGGCAGTCCGGCCGTCGCAGCGCGGCGGGTGGACGGGGAGGGGCTGCGGCTGGTGGGGACGGAGACAGGGAAGGCGACCTGCGACGGCGGCGGCGGCGGCGGCGACGGGGAGGGCGGCGCGGCGGCTGGGCTAGTCGAGACCCGCGGGCGGCCGGGCGCGATGCAGTGCCTCAAGAAGTGCCTTGCGTTGGCTACGGAAAGTGTGCTGAATAGAGTAAACGAACTAGTACTAGTTGCAAAATTGCAAAGGCAATTCTTTTTTAAGTGTTAGCTTAGCTGGTAATTAAACAAAGTACTGCTTCATACTCCTACTTACGAGAGACCTCAAGGACTATTATTATATGTAGAACTAGATGTCCTGCATAGCATTAGATAATGTTGTTGTTTTCTTCTTTCTTGTTGATTTAAAAAAATCAAATCTTGATTATGAATCTAAACAATGTTATGTCCATATTTATAGTAGAATTAGATTTATTTTGTAACGAGCGAAAGATGTACATATTATATATATTATAATATGATTGATGGGTTGCTGCTGATGCTAAACTTGTACAAATTGAGAGAATGGTGTGTTTCTTTAAGACCACAGCTAAATCTACAGGTTGTAAGCTCTAGATTTATTTTTATTTTCTTATAAAATAGAAAAAGATGATGTACTCCATATCAATGCAATCATAGATCCAGATCAATAGATTTCGGAATTAGAAATACCCCGTTCTAAGCAATCTTAGATTTTAAGTTATGTGTCGGTGCGTACTGTTCATGTCCCTACCATCTCTAACTTCTCACGATTTTGACGAGCGTGATATTTCAACCATACTCCCCGTAGCTAAGCTCGTCCTGGCCATTTTGTTGAGGAGGCAATTGTTTCTAACATTGATGCAAAAACATGTGTGTAAACAAGGAAATAAATAAATCATGTGGAACAAAGAGAGATTGTTCACACCCACACACAATACACATTTCGCAGGAATTTTCAGGATTCCGTTCTTTTTTTTGTTTGTGCCGTATAATAGCCGAAATACTTCTCTGTCTGAGACCATCCTTTTCGTTACGACCTCAAATTTCTGACCAAGTCCAAAAAGAGCAAGGCTAATAGAAGCGCTCGCCGCTTACTCAAGTAATTGCCACATCTGTTATAGCCATGGTAAAAAGTTAATACATACAACAAGTAGTCTATCCATCTTTCTTTAGTTGCAATAGTCTATTATTTATTTATTCTATCTTCTCTCTCATTCTACATCACATCTTCATTTTGTATGGTGTAGAAAACATGCAACGGGTCCCACATTTTTTGGAGATTGTGTGACGCTAGCGCTTAATTAGTCGCCGGCTGATCCTCTCTCTCATCAGCTTTTTGGCCAACGCAGCCTTTGAATTTATTATCGCCGGCTCTTCAGCCCCTATTATACTTTTGCTCTAACTCTTATCAGTTTTTGGGCCACACCAATTACCAAATGAATCATTGGGCCACATTAGTGGGCTAAATTAAGGTAAAATTGCAAAAACCATTCGATGAACCATTTTAAGTTTGAAATTCCACCTCATACAATTTGTCGATCAAATTTATGTAAACATCACCATGGCCGAATTACATCAAACCAAAACAAAAATAATGTCAGGGAGTAACTGAGCTGTAAATCAATCATTCTCAGACCTTGCCGCTGTTATAGCCATCAAAGCCGATCCGACACCAAGGATGCTACATCAGCAAGGAGCCTCTAAGCAATGCCTCCAATACCATAGCTATTCCATACATCTAGAACTAGGAAAGTCTACCCAAAGACATGAAAGTGTGGGAGGGGCAGTAGCGATATCACCTGTAGGAAGGTATGTGGTGCCCATAGGCCTCACCAATATCAGTGCTCCTAGCGTTGACAAGGCCGACCCTAGATATATGGCGTTATAAAAATGATCTCCTCCTTGGCATCAAGTGACATTAGTGGCTTTCCCAAGGACAATATTGATGATGAAAGTAGGATCCGAATCGGTGAAAGGTGGCTAGAGAAGGTGCTTGAACCTTCGCGGCCCAGATCCAGATGGTGATGATGGCAGAGGAGCCATCGCCTCCCCATATTACCCTGCCTTGAACGCATAATATCGACCGTCTCGCCTCACCGTAGATCGGTGCAGAGACATGCTAGCTTCCCGTGCCTCCATCTCGCCTATGTGCAAAGAGGAACGCCGCCGGTTGACATTCACATTTACCATGTTGCAAGGAATGGATTCTTAATAAGTCAAGAAATGAAAGGACAAATGGTTTGCATGTTATGGATTACTAGATGGGTACCCCGTGCGTTGCTGCGGGAGAATTGTGTGATAAAATAGTTAGATATGAGTTGTAGAAAAAATATCTTATTTACTATATGATTTTCTTTCATGTGCTTGTATATTTTGTACCTCGATCAATTATTCAAAAGTTATAAATGGTTGAGTTATATGGTGTGGCTTTTAGGGAGAAGAGATGCAATTTGCACCCTTGATGAATCATCCAAGGGCTAAAAACAATTAAGATGATGTGGCTTCATGAGAGAAGAGAGAATTAGTATTAATTACATTTAGTGGGGATGAGCTTTATAGATATATAGGATTGGGTCCTGTTTTTAATTTAAGGAATTGTTATCTCAGATCCATTGGAAAATGATGTTTTGTATATGTAGCTTTATTCTTGATAGTATACAGATTGATACATCATATGTACATTTTAAACATGCCTGTATCAAGCTTCTGAATTTGGGTTTATTTTGTATTTATGCATACCTTGCCGTACCTTTTTACCAGTTGTTAATGTATTATCATTCCAACAGCTGATCATTATAATTCCAACAGCTATACTTGTGTTTGCCAACAAGGGTAATTGGTTGTTCAAAAATTGGTTTTTGCTTCAGTTTACTTTATAGACTGTAAATATTACATAAAGCTCAGTTTCATTTGAACATTGCCAAGTATATCACACTAATCACATAAGATCATTACAACAATCATATCCCATTTACTTGTAATATATACGTTGCCCACCTTAAACTAATATTTAATGAAATATGGGTGTTATGACTAATTTTTGGAGTTATGATTTTTTATCGTGCTTTCATAACAGGGAGCAAATTGGGACCCAGAAGGACATTCTGCGTCATTATCCTTTTCTAACTCAATAAGACCGGGCTGAATTCCCTTCTCATCGAAGCCGCCATCTTTGGATAAGCACAAGTACCCTCTCTCACTACAGCATTTATACATGAAGTTATGCTATTTGGTTTATTGGCTGTGTTTAGGCTGTGTTTAGATTCAAAGTTTGGATCCAAACTTCAGTCCTTTTCCATCACATCAACCTGTCATTCACACATAACTTTTCAGTCACATCATCTTCAATTTCAACCAAAATCTAAACTTTGCGCTGAACTAAATACAGCCTTAGATCCAAAGTTTGGATCCAAACTTAAGTCCTTTTCCATCACATCAATCTGTCATACACACACAACTTTTCAGTCACATCATCTCCAATTTCAACCAAAATCCAAACTTTGCGCTGAACTAAACACAAGATACTTTAGAACATCTGGCAGCTCGCTCGTTACCGGCACGACCTGCATGCTTCGTTCACAAGATACTTTAGAACTTAGACGAACTCGCCAACAACTGAGAATGAAAGTGATTCTTTCTGCATAAAACTTCTCTAGAAATTGTAGGAAACAATTCCTGATATAACCAAATAAACAGGTTCCTGGAAAGCTTACAGATAAACCTACAAAGGTGATTGCTAGACAATGGAAGACATACGGCTTGGCGGCTTGCACATGCGCTGGCAGACTAAAATTTTAATTGCTAAATCCAGTGCATGGTAATGAAACGAATAGCTTGTGATAAAAGCAATGGTTGTCTTACCTTGTTTGGTTCACTAAATGAATCTTCATCCAGCACGTTGCCGGATGTGACAACAGCTTGAAGATATTGTGAGGTTCACAGTGTTTGGCCCAAAGTTTACTATCTACAGATCTTTTGAAGATGAATATATGTTCTAAAATCCAAAGTCCAAACAGATGTTATGCAAGCATGCAGTGGTTCAATCAGTTTATATCGTTGTAACTAAATCATTCAAAACATTTAGGGGCTTGTCTAATGAATCGCTGCAATGGTATTGGTATGTAAGTTAGGAGAAACTGGAATTGTTAACTACCTTTACTCTCAGAAAGATATCTGAGTGTCTTGCCAGGTGATTGCAGATGCAGCCAACGCATCAGAGTAGCCAGAACTGATCATAATCGGATGAATCACAGAACCACTTGATTCACGGAAATATTATGTCTGCATCCAATAACTATGAGTTCCATACTGTTGCCAGGAATTGAACACAATTGCATCTGGATTCCAGCTGATCATAACATTCAGACCTAGTCAAACTCACGAACTTGTGACCAACAAGAATGTTATAAAAGAAAACAGTGCAAAGCCAAAGGTATTAGCATGCGGTCATTGTCATTTACGAAGAGTGGTGCATAAACTTGCCATCTGAACAACATCACTGCAAAGAAACAGGACAGATACTTCTAGTATATTCATGATAGAGTATTAATTTTTGCTGCTCACTACTAGTATTTACAATATCAATATGTGCATATTTATTATCTTGTAATTTCTGAACAGATTTTTTCCCTTTGGTTCAAATTTGATTATCTGAATAGGGTCATAAACTCTTAATTATCCATGGCAATATTGACATTTGTCCTGGAGAAGTCATGAATGATCTAAATACAGCCACATGCGTGATTCAGTTAGCCCCAAGAATATGGAATGAGAGATTGATCCAAAGAGAGGAAGGAAAGTGAGAGGTATCACCTATTTTTCTCTAACCCAGTAAGGAAAGCAGCCTCAGCCAGTGAAGCAAGAAGTCTTCCATTGCTAGCATCCTTTCATTCATTAACAGCATACTCACTGACAAATACCTGGAACAAGGTCACAGCATAGCCATTTGTAGCATACTTACTGTATATGCAATATCGAGATGCAAGAGAAGTAGAGAATGATACAGATAAACAAAGCCTGCTAAAGTGTTGTGACACTACTACATTATCATTAATGGAATCTGCACATATAATATTATGACTTCAATATAATTTCTAAAGTAATTTAATAAACAAATACGCTGATATAATTTCTGAAGTAATTTAATAAATAAAGATGCCTACTCAGGTAGAATATGGAAATAAACAATGTCCTAAAAATATTCTACCAAAGTTAGGAATGACAGGTACAAGCAAGACCAACCTTTATATAAGTATTTTAAGGATGTATCTATTGCCAGAATAAATTAAAAAAAAGCCATTATGGCCAGGGATTCCAGACCATCCAAACAAGGGCTAAAACATTAAACATAAGTTAGGCCCAATATGTGATATCATGAGAAAAAGATTAGCGGCACTGGTATAGATCTTAACAAAACACAATGAGAAGTCTCTTAGAAGTCATGAGATATAATTTAAACGGTGAAAATGGAAAAAATATTTGGAGGAAAGAAGATTACATGGAAATCATACAAATCAGCAGGATGGTCAAGTGGCCTAGATGATCCATCAAAGTTTGAAATCATTTGAATGTCTGGATAGGCCTTGGATATAGCATCATAGAACTTGAGATAGTCTCCTGTACAATTGGATTAGAAACCATCATGGACAACTTGGAGGCAACTAGGATGTCTTCATTCTGGAGGTTATGATCAATTATAGCTTCATGTGCAAAGAAAATGTGTCCTCAGAAACTGGTAAGATAAATAAGCGGTTTAAGATATGCAGATCAACAGAAAACAATCATAAATGATAAGAGATTATATGTTAATTACACTTGGCCATCACATCATTTTAGCCTATAAATGTGCCTAAGTTATTGAAACCTAAGGAAAACAACTATGGAATATTGGCATTGACAACAAATGAGATCATTGATATGTCAAACTGTGATTAATAAAAATTATACCTTGGTAAAATTCCTTCCCACAATCTTCATTTGCAACATACTTCACGGGAACCGTTCAGATTGCCCCATTGCAGCTCTAACAGAGCCCAGTGTTGATTCTGCACTTCCCCTTGCAAATTCAAGACTATCCAATACATCATATTCCAAACAACTGCATTGTTACTATCACTGAAATATGAAATTCACTGATCAACAAAATAAAATAATCATGAAAATTTGACATCAAGATGTAATTGTACACAGCACGAGCTGAGTAGAGATTTGTGTATGGAAGAAATTGCCGCACTCCTCAATCAGCAAGTTTTCAATTGCTTTGAGGATCTTCTGACCTCTGTTGGCTCTTTAAGAAAAAAAACTTCCACTAGAGAAATGATAATTGTATTTATGATAGACCAGTCCAAAGCATAAATTACTGCCCTTAAATCTTCATTGGAGCTATCTCTGCAGTGAAAATAAATCAGTGTTGTACATAAAAAATAGATCTGTGGAACAGGAACAAAGGTTGACAACTGATCCTGCTCAAGCACCTCCTCCTTGTTAGCTGCTAAAGCACCATGATGCATTCATTCTTCCCTGGGTGCAGACTAGTCACTCTTCAGGACAACTGAATTTCTTAGCTTGCACAATCAGTACATTCCTCAGCAGATGATGCTCTACCACTGACATCTCAAGAGTAGCATACCATTATCAGCAACTCTAGTGGTGACATCATTAGGTCAACTTATGTACTCGTGTAAAGAATGTCAGAGATTAAAAATGGCTAGTTCTTTGACAAATGCCACTTTGAGCTTCCAACAAGGCATTCGGTATTTGTCTGGCACATGTGATTCTATGACTCGTTACTGCTTTCCTGATTGTACTCCTCAGAAAACCAAAGTGGACTGTCCATTTCATCAACGCCACAACATCCTGACAAAATAAGCCCTAGCATTTTCCTTCTTACATTGTAGACAGGGTTAGGATGAACCAGGCATCCCTTACTGTAACTCTCTCTAAGAAGGACAGTTTGTGTGCTTCCTTTGGTTGAGATGTAGAAAATGCCAGGGTGCTTAAGAATAAGTTCCCGCAGGTTTACCTCCATTTCAAAAGGTTTTCTGAAGTGTGACAGCCTCTCAAGTGGTATCATCTTTTCTATTGTCAAGCTTAAAAGCTCATGAAGAATGCCAACAATACGTTTCTCGAGCCGCTCGATATTGCGGATTGGATGCAATTCATTCTTCTCATAAGCCTTAGTGTAGGGAAGCCTCTGCCAATTCCCAAGCTTTCCCCTAAAACCTTTCTCGATCTTAAAGCCGGTTGGAAAGTTAATAGGAAAAGCATATTTTGTCTCAGATTCAGCTAACCATTTTTCTGTATATTCCTTTGCTCTCCATTCTTCAACATCAGCTACAGCAAGATTTTCATCCCTAGTGATCAATGTCAGAGTATCAGGGGAACTTAGAGAAAAATCAGACTGATGGTTTGGTAGTATAGAGCACCTATAGTCATCAGGCAGGCCAAGTTCTCTTCTTACGAGCCACAATGCATGCATATTCAGAGTTCCATCCTTCGATAGCGTGAGAAGCTTCTTGAGCCGCTTAGCAATAGCAGGCTCATTTTCCCTGATGGCAGCATCTTCTTGTGCAATCAATTCAGACATTTTTGGGGTGACCTTACAGCATTCATTTCTTTTGATTGGGTGCACATAAATGTCGAAAATGTGGGGATATTTCTTGAGGAAAGCGCCTATCTCAATGTTCAAGCCGACCTCATGTCTCCACCTGGAGAGGAGTTGGAGAGATGCATATTTGTTCCTCTGCTGAGATATCAACTCATGTAAATCCAAAGCCAGCCTGAGGTTCTTCAGCTGAATCATCAGCTTGTCCAGTTTATGATCCCTTGTTCTGCCCTCCAGACGAGTTCTTGCTGAATCAACTGGCTTTTTCCACCTCCTCTGTATGGTACAATTATAAGGACCATGCTGGTATACCTCATCCAATATGTGCCTTCTCAGGGGAAAGACACACAGATTTCTATGACCAAACAATATAGATGCCATTCAGTTGTATATTCAGATCCAGACCTTAGAGCACAGAAAACACCATCGGCATGCAAAAATGGTTATGTGAATCAATGTCGACTTGTCAATCTGCAACAAAGAAATTCGATGCATTGTTATCTGTAATACCAAAAAGATGAACTAACTTGTCATGTAGAACTACAACCAAATATTGAAGACTGTTTTCTTTTATTATTGTTTCACAAGGTCGTGCAAAATAGCAAAGAAGAGCAGGATGGCACTCAATTTTGAAACAAGAAAGTGATAGAACCTGAACCTTAACCTTGCTAGGCATTTCATCGAACAGCATGCGCTCGAGGTGGAGGAAGTAAACTCTTAACTCTACCAGGTGGAAGGTCGTCAAACACACACCACGCGGACAATAATGTGGGTGATGCGGACGAGAGCAACGGCGACGAGAGGGATCAATGATTCTCTGCTTTCCCCTAGCCCTTCTGCTTGGCTGCTAGCTAGAATTGGGGAAACTGGAAAAGGAGATCGAACCGGGGTGCATCACCTGTCCCCCGCTGATTCGCCTCGGCTCTCTCGTCGCCAGGCCCACCATGGCATGTTCGCCGGAGCTCCACAACTGTCTCCGGGGAAGAGAATGGGAGGAAAGCGAAGAGACGGCCAAAAAATTAGATGAAGTCACCCTTGACCCTCGTGCGAAGAGTTCACACCCCCACGGCGCGGTTCACCGGTGCCGTGGCCTACAGAGAAGCCGTCGGCGGCGGGGAAGAGGGTGGCTCGGCAAGGCGGCAATGGCGCCGCCGACTGCGGATGGTGGGAAGAGGTCGGCGGTGGAGCACGGGGCGGAAGCGGCGGCTGCAGCGGGAGTAAGCCTGCCAGTGGGCTGTGATCCAATTTGAATCCACCCCAACCCACCTCATGGAATGGCATGCCAAACCAACTCACCCCATTTCCTCTCCTCCAAAATCCAAACCAACCCACCCCACATCAGATTTCAGTCCAACCCACCCCAAACCATTGCAGAAAAATGGGTTCGGTCCAGTGGCGGGCCCAGGATTTAGAGGTTAGGTATTCGAAATAGGTAGGGGTAAAACAAAATTCTTTTTACTTCCAGAAGTCCAATAATTAATTGGTATAATATTACACATTACTAATTGTATAATATTATAGCATATAGAACACAAAATTGGCCATAACTTTATAAATTGATAGAATTGATCATAAGTCCAAATTCTTTAACATATATAAGTACTAATTGTTCGACATATGAAAGTGGCAACATATATAACATGTAAAGGATAGAAAATGGTAAAATGATAAAAAAAACTTACAATTTAGAGGAGAACTTTTCAATGCTTGATATTTTAAAAATGAGTGATGATGTCCTCATCCTTTAACTTGTACAAAAAATTCTCTTCCAATAAATGCAGATTGTTGCTCATCTTGCTTCTTGTTTTTATATAGTTCATCGAAGAAAACACCCTCTCTAAATTCTCTAAGTTCCTAACAACAGCTCATATATAGCCTCATACTATCATCATATATATAAATTTAACACACTGAAAATTAAATATTATGGTTCTAAGTTATCTAAATTCCTAATATTTACAGCTTTATACTATCAATCTATCAATAAATATACACTTAACAGTTAACACTCTGAAAAATAAAGAAGACAGGAACTGAGGAAGTTGAATCCTTCGGTGCTAGTGAACTATTGAACTACTATAGAACAAATCAATGAAACAAGCCGTCGCCACCAGAAAACATAACTACTATTGAACTACCTAGAACAAATCAATGCAGTGAATCAATGAATCAAGCCCCTCACGCAATCCATGACAGGCCGGCGAGCCGTGGTCGTTCGGCCGCCGCATCGCGTACCTGTGTGGTGGCCTGGCGGACTGGCGGCCTGCACGCCTGGCCGAGCCCCAACGCCGCACGGCCGCAGCCGTCGACGCGCCGCCTGCACGCCTCGGCGCCTCCTGCCGCCGACGCAGCCGCGCACGCCGCAGCCGGAAGCCTCCGCCGCAGCCGCCGACGAGCACGCTGCAGACTAGACTGCAGTCGCCGCCGCCCGACGCGCCGCCTAGGCTCCTACCCGCCTTGGCGCCGCCTTCCGCCGACGCAGCCGGAAGTCGCCGCCGCCGCACTGCCGCACGTCCTCGCCGCCACACCGCGCACGTCCTCGGTCCTCTGGTTAGGATTTGGCCGATTTGGGAATTAGGGCTTTGGTTTGCTGTGCCTAGGCGAGGAGGGGAAATGAACTAGTTGTGGCCCAAACTGATTGTGGGCTGAGATGAAAGGGGAGGGAAGTGGGAAATTTAGGCCCAATAGAGAAGAAACGATGAAACAGGGCCCAAAATGAGTAGTTTTAGCCTTTTTCTTTAATTTCTTAATACATATACGAGGTATAGAGTACATATACTTATTTTTTATCCAAAAATCTTGGGTATACGTCTGAATACCCTTGAATCAATAGTGGGCCCGCCCCTGGTTCGGTCCACTTCACTGGAATGGATTCAATCCATGGATCCCAGCTACAATATAGAGGGCTTGGAGCCATTACGCCTTTGATTCGCTCGTGGATGTTACGTGAATATTGTGCTGCTCCAAAGGAGCCCATAAACACACCTAATACTGCAAGTTACAAACATGATCCTCCACAGAACAAAAGAACTGCACAACTACTACGTCAACTAGCTAAATGGCTACATGATGCAGAAGAAAGCATAAGACAATCAGGGAAGGATTGGGTTAACTTAACTCAATAACTCCAAACATACTACTCCTGTGAAACAAAATGTGTAACAAACTGAAGAATGCAACATACTAGAACATACTGGGTGTTAGTCCACATATGCATATCTGAAACGAAATGCTTCAGTCCATTATATGCAGAAGAATTCAGACATGCAACCTGTTTGGTTCATAAACACAGACAGAGTACTAAGGGATCAGTCCCATGCATCTCTGAAACAAAAATGCAGAATTCAGAAAAATGTTGTAACGATGTTTTCCCTTCTCAATTCAATTCACACCAGAATCCAAAACGCAACAAAAATCTTCCCAAATACAAATTCATGGCCAGGGAAACATTCCAGATCGATCAAGCAGAAAATCTGCAATCCAGTCTCTTGGATTGGAATCACATCAACAGAAACACACCAGCTTTCTTGCGGCGGTGGCAGCGCTCGGCGCGGGCGGCGCTCGGCGGTGGCAGCGAACGGCGGTGACGGGGCTCGGCGGTGGCCGTGCGCGGCGCTGGCCGCGCGAGGCGGTGGCGGCGCACCGCGCACAGCTGTGCGGCGTGGGGCGGTGGCGGCGCCTCTGCGGTTGCGGATGGTGTATAGAGTTTGGAGTGGAATGGGAAATGGTTTGGTTTGTTTTGGGGCTGACGCATAGGCTGAGTCCATGGATTGTCTTCTCAGACCAACCCGCATCCACTCCAGCACAAACCACAATTCTTCACAGGCCAATCCGCTTCAATCCAAAATTAATATCAACCCACTTAAATTGTCACACCCTAAAGTTCTTCTCCCAAATCTAAATCAAATTAATAAATGGTCTCGAGAAATTACCTGTGTAAAAGCAAGAGAGAAACCCTAATTGAATTAATGCAAATAATAATCGGAAATGACATGTGGGATTTTTTTTTGAGTTCTACAAGTCAAAATATAGGATTTTTAGTGGAATTTTCAGAGCTCTAGAAATAATTTTAACAAATTAAAAATGAGCATGAGTAATTATTTAATCCCTGGAATTCATTTCTTTTTTTTTCTTTCTCTTTTTCCCCTCCTTTTTCCTAATGGGCCGCCAGCCCTTTCCTTTTCCCCCTACCCCTTCCCGAAGGCCACGGCCCAGCAGCCGCCCGCGCCTCCTCTCTCACCCGGGGTCGCCGATAGGTGGGGCCCAACTGTTGGGTCCTCTCCCAACCTCCAGCCGGCGTCCGCGCCCGCAGCCGCCGCCTCGCAACCGCCCGCTCCCGCGCCTCCCGGGCCACGCCGCCCACGTCGTCGCCTCCCCCGCGTCTCCCGCTCCCCCACTACCCATCTTCCGCTCACCCGCGCCCACGGGATGGCCGGGATTCGAACGAATCCCGCCTCTCTCTCCTCTCCCACTCCCCCACGTCGGTCGGTGATTCCCGCCTCTCCCGGCCACGTCCGGACCCCTCCTCCCCTATTTAAGCACCACCGCCCCTCCCTCTCTCTTTTTCCCCATTTCGCCGAGCTTCCCAGTGCCCTTCTTCGCTCTAGCACCCTGCACCCGCCGCCGCCGCCGCTTTTCCGCTCTCCGGCCGCCGCTAGCTGTCGCTAGCCGCCGCGTCGAGCCTCGCCGCCGACGCCACTACATTCGCCATCGTGTGGAGCACCCTAGCCACCGCTCGATCGACGCTGTCCGTCGCCGGAACCCCATCCGCCCCGTCCGCCGGTGAGTTCGGCCATGGCCGCCGCCTTCAGCCGGCGTCCCCGCCCTCTATGATCTCTCTCTCCCTCTCTAACTTCTCCCATTTTGCTCCTTAGGTCGTCCCGGACCCTGTCCGCCGCTCGTCGACCTCCCTCCATCGTTCCTCGTCGCCGTTCGCCGTCGTCTCCCTCCACGCCGGTCGGACCCCTTCGGTGAGGCCGCCCCCTCCTTTTTTCCCTCTCTTTTCTCCTGGTAGCGCCGCTGCATAACCGCCACCACGCCACCGCCGTCCGCCGGTCGCCGCCGGTGCCGTGCCGCCGCCGCGCCATGGCCGCTGGGCCGGCTTGAGCCGCCCGTGCGCGCCGGCCGCGTGCCGCCCCCTCCCCCTCCACCGTCCATCCGGCCGCCCGCGTGGTCGCCACGTGTGCGCCACGTGGTGAACCTCCCCTCCCCGGTCCCGTGGACTTGGTCCACCATGGGCCAGCGCCCTTGAGCCTATGTCTTGTGGGGACCGCCTGTCGGCGCCACCCTTTCCCTCTCTGATGACGTCACCAGGGCTAATAATTGCACAATAAATTAATTAAGGATTTTTCTGTTTATAGTAAAAACACAGTGAATCTTCTAAAATTCATAGAAAATTCATCCGTGCTTCGTTTAAGCCCATTCAAGTCTCAGTAAATCAAGAAAAATGTAAAGAATCCATTAAAAATGGTTTTGTTATCTGTTTCAGTAGTCTTATAGCATGTTTGCGTTGTTTGCCTTGTATGTCGCGTAGATTCCGGCTCTCCTGACGCTCCGGTGTACTTCGAGATAGTTGCCGAGGTCCCTCCAGCCATAGAGCAAGGCAAGTCATGCTTGTCACTTGAACATGTTGATCCCATATTGCAAATGCTCTATTGATTTCCTTTAAACACTGCATTGTTTTATAATGATACCATGGGATGATTACCTATTGTCTCGGCCATACTATTTATTTACCTTGTTCCTTTGTTAGCTTGGGGATGTAACATGACTAGATGTTGGCTTAGGGATTGCTTAGCCATGCTTAGTTCAACTAGCACACAATGGGGGAATTACATTAATGTATAGATTTCAGATTCTAGTATTGGTGTTGGACTAGTACCATCGCTCTGGTGTTGGTTAATTAAAATATATTAAATGGTGGGCTGTGGGTGCATGGTTTTGATGGTCGCGCCCATGGCAATTAAGGACCGGTTCGCGGAAAACCCTGGAAGAATTCCTCGTACTTACCACAAGCCAGCGTGGGCAACGGCTGGGCTTGTAGTGTAGCTTTCCTCTAGCTGACGCATCTAGGCAAGGGTGGGCATGATGGAGTAGGATGGGCCCTGCGACGGCCTTTGTCGCTTCCGGATTCACCTAGGCACGAGAGGAGACTGCCCGCTGCCTTGCGAGGAGTGGGGGTGAAACCTGAGGTGTGGTGTGTTTGGTTAGAGGGGGTTATGCGAAGGGTCCTGTCACGGCCTCTTTCCGGTATGTCGTGGTGGCATGTCGGCGCACGGTAACGTGTCGTGGGGCTGTGTCTTGTGGGTACAGTTGTACACCTTTGATCAGAGTAAAACTATTCGAATAGCCGTGCCCGCGGTTATGGGCGGTCAACTAGATTCACCGTGATTAGTCTCACCCCTAGTTGGTTAATGGAACTGATTAGTGCAGGTGGTGGTTTGGGCCTGTCTCAACGTGGTGTAGCGTTGAGCAGTGATTGGTTTAATATTGGTTAATTATTACAACTGTTTTACTGCATTCGACTACTGTTTATAAGTGCCAGCTTTATGCAAATGATCCCCTTTAGCCTTCCTTTGGTTATATATTGCATCATACCCTCTGTTCCGGTATGACTTGCTGAGTACAGTGGGTAGTACTCAGTCTTGCTCTATCTCCCAACCCTTAGAGTTCGAGTATGCGTCCGATGGTGATTTCTCCGAGGAGTAGGCTTCGTCCGTGCCATAGAGGATGCCTGTGGAGTGGTGTTCCCGCTGCAATCTTAAGTCAAGGCTTAGCTCTAGTTATCTTTAATTTTCCATTGCATTTATGTAAGACTTTTATAATGTTTGTAAGACGTGGATCTGTATGTCAACTTTGTTGTTTGTGTACCCTGGCCGGTTCTGGACAGGGATTTTAATGCACATTCTGCTTGGAATTCTATTCGGGAATTTCTGGGTGTGACATAAATCCAACCATCACCATCCAAATCAGCATCCAGCCCATTTCACCCAATCAAACCCGCCCCACTGGCAGGCTTAAGTGGGAGGAGGCGGCGTGGAGGCACGCGGCGTGCGGAGCTCAAGAGAAAGAATGTAAAGTTTATGTTCCGTAAATCACTGAACTACGGAGGTAAAGCACATCACAACTACAATGAAGAAGACAACTGAAGAATTCTAGAAGATAAATACACAAGCAGCATCAAAGTAGAGGCCTAGAGGGACAAGACCAGACGACACCTTGCTAGTTGAGTATGAGTGAAACCATCATATAAGACTTTGTATATCTAACCATATCATTTCCAGGTTAACCCTTTTACGGGAAACAAAAATGAAAGTGTAAATAGAGTGCTATGTGTAAGTGGGTCCATCTATTGGATGGGCTAGGCTATGTGGTTGACTGTTACAAATTTTCTTTGTGCTCTTTTTGTAAGCAATGAACAATCAACACCAAGACTACAGAAGAAAAATCAAATTTGTTTAATAAGTGACCATGTTTTTGTGAATAGGACAAGAATCACTGAGTAATATACTTAGATGTAAGTGCACTAGTAATATGCCTGTACTAACGTTACGGTAACATTTCATAAGACAATGGT